TACAACAGATTGGTAGTTGTTAATGTGTAAGGATTATTTTGCCCCAGGTGAGCTTTTTCACTACTTACAGCTTAATGTATTTTCAGGTTCAGTGTATGTCTAGGCTGGTTTTGTTTTTGTGGGGTCGGTTGTTTTTTAACTTTCTTTTAAATAAATGCTAAGGTGCTTGCTGTAGCTCATCAGGTACCTGAGCTACTTGTTTGCTTCCTTGTATAGAGTCAGCTGGACTCTAGTTGATCCTCTGAATAGATGCTGCCCTTGCACAATTATGGGTCAATGGACAGAGACCCTTTGGATTTAGTACTCTGTTCTCTAGCAGTCCTGAACCGATGGAAGCTATACCGTGAGATAATGTGCCTGTTTGAGCAAGCTGAATTCCTACTAGATCAGTGTGGACAGAGGGTGAGGGGTTCTTGTCAATTATGCTGACACCACTAAATTTTGTATCAAAGAACTGTATCTTTTTGTGAATACTCTTATGTAAATATATGCAAAGGCACTGTCCATATTTTTAAGGCATGTATTATACTCTATAAGGTTTTATACTGGATTCTGCATGACTATACTTGGAATAAAGACAAGACTTGCTCTTCTTTCCAAAATGAGAGGTCTTCATAGACACAGGTTATTGGCTCAGCTGTAAAGTAGTAGTCCCACTGATCATGAAGTGGAAGAGGTTTTGTGCAAATTAATGTAGTTTCTTATTTATTGCTTTTGTAAATTGAATAAAAATGAGCTTTTTATGTAAATAGACTGTGGGATCCTGTATTATCAGCTACTAAAAATTAGTTTGTAAATTCTATATTGTAAAGTTTAAAAATATTTTATGTATTTCTAGATATGACTTAAATTTTAGTTTTCATACATTATGAAAGCAGAACTACATATTCAATTGCTTCAGACTAAACACATACTCACCATATGTAATTCTAATTATTAATAACAGTATTAATTTAGATAGCTTATTTGTACTGTGCAATTTGAACAAGGAATGCAATGTTATTTTTTATGAAATCTTGTTTATTTTTATAACACAATGTATTTGATGTGGACCAAATTCGTACCACTATGTAAAACATTCTCTTATAGTGCAGATATAGCTTAGAAATAAAATTCAACCCTCTATTCTCCTTTTTAAAGAGATAGATTTAGTCCTCTTAGGCAACATTGTTTAGAAGGAACCTCAAAATTATTTTGAAATTACTTCAGATTTCACCAACTATTTAAAAATCATTAAATTTGGTAATTTACTGTTATTTACTTTCTACATTAGAAGTGCAATAATTTTACATAATAAAACTCCTGAATGGGTGAAATATGTGACTGTTGTTACCTGGTCCTTCTGGTGCTACTTTATTAGTCTCAAACCACCACCTTGTTCTGAATTTTAAAATACAGAATAAAGTTTCCTATATAAATATATGCAGAATGGGAAAAAAAAACTAAGCTGACATTTCTTCTGTCCCATTCCATTAGGGAGAAGAGCCAGCATCTTTTTTATTAAGTCAATTTCTAGTGTGATTAGTTAATAAAAACAACTTACCATCGTAAGCAGCAGTGGTCTTTTCATGTCTTAAATGGCTGCTGCTAAATTAATCTCACTTTTTTGGTGGTGGTAGAGCCGTTTTAAAAATGACTAAGACTCCTAACCAAGTGCTCCACTAGTAAGTGGTATCCCAGCCCCAAGCACACACCCTGAGTCAGAACCCTACCCAAGCTGTGCACCAATTTAACTTGGCAGCTGCTCCAGTTGCTGGGCTTTCCTGACTGCTACCATGCCCAGTCATCTCACCACCACACGATCTTAAAGCAGGTCTGGTTAGCTAATGTCACTCCTGTGATTCGGGCTGGAAACGACTCTTCAATAAAACGTATAGTGTCTAGCTAGTAGAACAAGGAAACACCAAGGCAAGAAATGTGGTGAGCTTAAAAAAATTATCCTCTGGTGGTTATATACATTTAAAAAATTTTTGTTTTGCTGTATTGTTTGGTTCAAAACATCAACTGTAAGCCATATCTTTAATGGACTTAAATATTTAGCATAACTGTTTGAAAGTTAACATACATGCTTATATTTCTTGCTGACACCAAAACAAGTCATTTGGGGATAAAAACAACCTTTGCTTGTAATTAGAATTGCTGCTGCTTCTGTAATATGTATTCCTCCACCCCCTGGTAAAAGGTAATAAAACTATTATATGAGCTTTTGTTTACTTATCTCAGGTTATGTATTAAATACCACAAAAAGTATTTTTCACTTTACAGTGCCTACCACTTACCTTCTCCTAAATGAAATTCCCAGAAGTTCAGACAAATGTATTTAAAATATATGTAGATACTGTAAGGACTCAGGCATTATGTTGGCCTGCCCCTGTCACCTGGCAGAATGCACTCAGGCAGTACCCTGGTCAGCCCGGGTCAAAGGACCCCTTTAAAAGAAAGAGCCTCGCCCACTTATGCTCTCATTCCTGCTACTCTTCCTGCTCTTCCCACTGTTCCCTTGGGCCAGACAGGACTTTCCTGTCTCCCTCTTCTCATCTGTCGTCTGTGTCTTTTTTACCTCTGTTCTTTTTCCTTCACTCTTCCCTTCACTCTCTAAAACTTCTCACTTAAGCTCTGTCTGCCTGGCATGTTTGTCCCTCCGCCTCGGTCAGCCTCGCTGGACATGGAATCCGCCAAGGTCTCCCACATAAGGTTGCCCACCGCGTTATCATAACAGATACAGCGTGGGAACATCCAGGGACCTGATGACAGAATTTTGAACGCTTCATAACATACATGTTCAATAGTTAAGGAATGATAGAAAATGATGCACACCATGTGATCACCAAAAAAGTGTACAGGAAACTGGATGTCATCTCTGGTAGGTAAACTGAAAATGACTGTCCCTTAAATATATCTTGTGGATTTCCTTATTCCAGACATTTCATAATCAGAAACACATAGCATGCAGATGTTTATTACCTTGGCATTATGTTTTCAAAATTCTTTATGTATTGTATCTTTTACTTTTTTAAAGCTGAATAATGCTGTTGTGTGGTTATTTACTGTTCATTTAAACGTTACAGTTTGCATTTTTTACTTTAGATTGTAACACTATAAACATTCACATAGTAATTTTCCCTTACTCTGCTTTGCCCTCAACTGAAGTCCAAAGAGCACTAAACATAAAATACAGGCAGAAACAGTTTCCAAGTTTTAAATAGCTTTTATTACAGCATACTGTTACACCTATTTCCTGTTGTACCTAACTCTTATCATGGATGTATATATAGGGAAAACTATGATATATCTGTGGTTTCAGGAACCCAGTAAGGGTCTTGGACCATATCCCCATAAGAAAGATTGGGTGAATCAGCAATTCTGTGTTTTGAATTGCTCGATGATGTAGTTACTATGTCCTTGAGCAAATACCAAGTTCTGTATGCCAGGATACCTAAAGTTCCCATTAGCTGTGAATGAAGTCTCCATCTTCTGCTACCTAAACTTACCATCTTAGTCAGTCTTCCAAGATCTTCATGAAAATGATCCACCATCAGACTCTTGGATACCTTTGAAACCAAACTGAAAGGCCATTTTTATCTTTGACTTGCCAGTGGTTTTATGTATTTTTGGATACAAAGCCTTATCCAAGTTTATGATTAGTATTTTCTCATTCTTTGATTTCCCTTTCTTGATACTATCTTTTCGAACAGCTTTTCTTATTGATAGGAGTCCCGTTCATTCTTTTCTTGTTGCTTTTGTGTCAAAGCTGGGAAACTACAATGTAACCCAAGGTTATATTTATGCATATGCTTTATAAGTTGTAGCTCAAACATTAGGTCCCATTTTGAATTAATTTCTGTATATATGAAGAACTCTATCTTTTGAATATGTTGTCTGAGTATTGTTTGTAAAAAAGACTTTTCCCCCCAATGAACTGTCAAAAACAGACTATAAACATGTGTGCTTGTTTCTGGACTCAGTTGTAATGATAGTGTAGTGATCCACGATAAAAGTTAGGTACAACAGGAAATAGGTATAACAGTATGCTGTTACAATCATCTGTTTATGGTAGCAGCATGTTGGACGATTCCTGCTCTACACAGGAAGCTTTGGAAGTACAAGTGCTACATTTATTTATACATTCAAGGCTATTTTGGCTATTCCAGGACTCTTCTGGTCCCGTAGGAATTTAGGACCACTTTTTCAGTGTGTGTACACCCAAAGTGGGACTTGTATAGGAATTGTATGCAATGTGCCAGCAGATCTGAAGAAAGCAGTCCTTTTTAGTGCCATGCTTCCCCAGTGCATGCATGCTATCTTTCATTCTAAGCCGCCTTTCAGCATATTTTACAGTTTTACTTTTGTTCTGTTTCATTCTTCTTGGTATTCTTATAAATGGAATGTTTAATTTCATCTTTGGATTTTTCTGACTTTCTGTATAAACAGTCGTATCATTTGCAACCAGATTTAATTTTAATTCTGTATAGGATCTGAATGCTTTGTCTCTCTTTGCCAGCTTGCCCTGGCTGGAACCACCAGAATGATGTTCAAAGTGGGAGTGGCAATGATGGATGTCTTGTCTTCTTCCAGTCTTTTTTGATGACCTTCACCAGATAGAGGAACTCCTCTTCTGAGACGGTCAGAACAGACCATCGTTAGTATTCTGTTTGCTCTTATCCCTAGCCCCTAGTTTTAAAAAAAAAATACTTTTTGTGACTTCCTCTTCCCATGGGAGATTTAAGCCCAAATGTACCTGGGATTTTATCATTTGCTAAGCAGGGTATTTTTATTTCTGTGGAATTCAGATGCATCATTTCATTACAAGTAAAAGACTCCATGTGAAGTGAGCATTCCCATTTTGAATTCTTTGCTTATACCACGTATTAAAATAGCAGTGATGCTCAAGCCATGAGATCTTCTTAAAGATTTTTTATATAAAGACTAGGGATATAGAATAGCCTTAAACTATGGAGATAGAATAAAATCAGTTGTAAAAATCCATTTTTTCCAACCACTATGTTAAAAAAGTTTATTTCAGTAACATTGTAAGGCAACAATTAACCCTCAACAAGTCTCCCAGCAGCTTCCTGAATCACATATAGGCTGCTTGTGGTTCAACCTCCTTTGATAAAACCTTGGGGAATCTTGGGGACATTTAATTACAGCTGCTAGCTGGAAAACACTTCGTAGAACAATCAATCATTCTTAAATATTAAGAACTGTGAAAACACAGTTCTTTATACTCTTCCCTATTGTGCTGCTTATAGTTACATTCATTAGGGAGGAAATTCATTACTTAGACCTTGGAAATATACTTTTAGAAGTAAATTACTCAAATGATCAGATAGTCTTTAAAAGAGGAAGTTACTGCTAACTATGGAGTGTGCTTATTAAAAGCCATGAATACTGTATGTAATTGCTTGACCATTTCTGGCCTTTAAGCATGTCCTGAAACTGAGCCTCTTGTTACTGGGTGTATAATATCAAAGTTTCATAATATTAGAGAAAATCAAAACTGTTTACATAGAGAAATAACCCAAAGGCAAAAGGAAAATCATGATTATGCTGAAAAAAGACAAAGGTACCCTGCCAAAAGGAAAGAAATCAGAGAACATCTTGTTTTATATGCTTCCTCAGCGTGATGGTTTGCTTCCCCTCCTATAATTTCTAGTAATCAGTTTCAGATTAAACCAGGAACAGAACATTCACCTATATTTTGAAGTTCATTTATCTATTAGCACTATTACCTATTTTCATCAGCTGTGATTCTATACAGGCTGCCGATGTTAAGTACTACCTGACCAATAATACGTACACAGCAGGAGCCAGATACTTGAAGCACTGTTAGATAAGATTTCTGTAAGTCCAGCAAAACCAGTGACTCCACTATACAGTGTCAATACATGTGACAGTCAGCACATTACCAGCTCTAGCTGCTGCCCTTATGTCTGCATGGGCACAGACAGTGTTTAAGGAGTTATAGATTAAGCAGGCAACACAAGGAACATGGTTAGAAACTGACATACCACACAAGTGATTTTAAGAAAGTTTCTCCTGCAGTGTACACTTAAGTAGCTGCTCTTACTGAAATTCAGATAGCTCTGAGGACCACTCTGAGAAAAACCTTTCTGTTCCTACCTGACAAGTATATTTTATTTTGTTTTGGTTTCCTATGGCTTTTCTTTCAACTATATTTTGGGTCATATTTGTTGACTAACTCAAATTTTGTCTTTTTACATTTGTTAATGTAAAAAAGAAACATCTTATTGCTTATCTCATCATCTCTGTCACTGCTGGAACCTAGAGAAGCCACAAGAGGCACTGCTGTGACAAACTTCACAAGCTATATCCCTGCCTCCAAATGAAAAGCACCATTAAACCATACTGCTGCTTTTACTCAGGATCTAAACACTAACAGATACAGGTGTAGTTGCCTCATTCCTGTATAAGCCACAACCTCAGTATGAGGACAGACAGTAAGTTCTAAGAAATTGACTTGCTACAAAACAGAAAACCTTTCGGGAGGCAGAGACAGGCAGATCTCTGTGAGTTCGAGACCAGACTGCTAAGAGCTAATTCCAGGACAGCCTCCAAAGCCACAGAGAAACCCTGTCTCAAAAAACCAAATGTTGCAATTATGTTGTAAAGGATTAACCTTGTATGACAGAGGATGCCTATAAAACGAAGAGAATAAATACTATATAGAATACTCCACCCTCCTCTCTTCTACCTCAGAAAAGCCGTGCTATAAACTCTGTGCTCTGGGAAGAAGTTTAAATCTTATGTTGCACAAATAAAGCAACCCATGAACTGTGAGAAGGGAATGTAGCTGAAAAACGTTCTCTTCCTAAATGACAGGAGCATTTGAGTAGGAAGCAGACAATGAATGCTATCTCAGGAAATAGTCCAGAAGTGGTTTCCAGGGCTCAAGCTTCAGCTGTGCTAATGGCTGCCTGAAGAAATGTAGCTCTCGGGACTTCCTTCTTCATGGCGGTTACTTTCCTGTGACCTCCAGTTACAGGTGAGGAGAGCCACTATCCCAGAACGGTATTTACCTACCATCCACTGACAACAATGGACTTACCTACAATGGACTTACCTACTTCATTAACAGTAATCTGACTACATCTTTCTTGCTACTGAAGAACTATGTTGCTGAGTCCTTACAGTCATAAAACTGACATGTATAAATGGCAGTATCCACATGTGCCTAAGTGCCCGAAAACTGGAATTTTCAAGTGACAAAAAAGCCAGGCATCACTATCCCAAAGTTTAACCCATATGGCCCTGAAGAGTATTATCCCAAAAGCTCTTTGAACATACGCTCACTAAAACTCATTGACTTGTGTTACAAATATCCATATAACATGGGAGAGAAACTGTCCCATGGAATGTCCAAGGGGCATGTACTCAAAGCCCATCCACACAATTAAAACACAAAGAGGCTGTAGGTGCAAACCCACGCAGAGGGAAATGTCCAATCCGGGAACTTCTCTTTCAGAGCATCAAGCTGAGAAGATCTCTTGTCTTCCCCTGATAGATAGTGGGCAGCAATGGCCACCGTGACCATTCCTTCTGGCTGTTCTTCTGATACCTGCTAGAGAAAATCAGTTAGTTCTCTGGAGCCACAGCACTAAACTCCAAGGTAGCTAAGTACTGTCAGGGAGCCAGGAAAATTCCCACCTGTACTTCTATCCAGAACTGCCATGCAGAGGCCTGGAGTCCATGGGAATAAAACACAAAGTAGTCCCCTCCTCTGCTTGTGACTGGAATGCCATTGCCAAGAGACCATTGAGAAAGTGTTGATCCTTTGTGGGTTCGAACATAGAAAGACATATGGCTTGGTCCTGTAAGAGGAACATTTCCATCAGTCAGCAGTGATAGGCAATACAGTTAACACCCAAACCATACTGTTGTGGTTCATCTGTGCTGTGACTTTAGGTGGACTCTCCACAAGGCAGGAGGTTTACCAGCTTGGACATTCAGTATCTAGCAACAAAGATAAGAGAACAGAAAAGGCAAAAAATCTTAAGTGAGAAAAGTAACTGCTGATGGAATTTACCTAACACACCCCCACCCAAGATTGCAGGGAGAGTTGGAAAGTAATCTGCCTGTGGCTAGTTCCTTAAGGCTCTCAGTGTTTGGACTACAGTAACTCATCAACCTGACTCAAATCCACTCTATACATGTTATCAGAAAAGTCTGGGATAATTTGGCCAAATATCAAGGTACTATTTAGTCTCACTGGATTGACACAAAGTTAACCATCACATTTACACAAAGAACAATTGATCAAAAAGGGAAATGATCCTGATTTCTTTATTGAAGAATAGCTTGAAATGCCTATGAGACTTTATATCAAAGACCCACAAAACGTTATGCCAAGAACCCTAGAGTTATTCTGCAAGCAGAAGAACTTCATTAATTTTACTTAAGGAGGGAAGTGACAATCAAATGTAGTAGATCAGCTGGTGACACCGTGAGGGAAATCCTAGAAGACTAAACATGGAAAAGGGAAGAGTCAAGTCTTCAGGTCAATGCCTATCTGTTTGACAATGACCAACACTACATTTCAATACGGCTTCTTAAAAGTCATAGCCAGGCTGGGCAGTGGTAGCACACGCCTTTAGTCCAGCACTCTGGAGGCAGGTGAACTCTGAGTTTGGGGCCAGCCTGTACAGGGTGAGTTCCAGGACAGCCAAGGCTACACATAGAAACCTTGGTTCCCCCACCCCCCCAGAAGGAAAAAAAAATACTACAAAAGTCACAATCACCAAGTGGCATACTCCAGTAGTCCCTCAAGAGACTGAGGCAGGGAGACCATGAGTTTGAAGCTAGCTTGTCCAAAAAGTAAATAAATGAGCCTAAAGGAGATAAAGTCTAATTATCTTAAGTGAAGAAGCAGTGTCACAGGACTTGCCTGTTGCTTTTGAGACCAACATCTTGCACTCCGAAGGGGATGAACTGAGGACACAGACTTACTGCAAGTCCTCAGCAACCATTAAAATAAGTTTGATTTGGGGCTGGAGAGGTGTTCAGCTATTAATAGCATCTGCTGCTCACTATGTTACCTGGTTAGCCTGAAGTTCTATATATAGACAAGGTTGGCCTGGAACACACAGAGACATCTGCTTGCCTCCCTGGAATTAAGTGTGCACAACTACACCCAACCTGATTTTAACTGGCCTTTGTATTTGAGTATTTGAATGACACTGGGAGAGAAAGGGTTAAATTTTTTTTATAAAATAGTTGGTCAAATGTGGTGGAACCCCAGCACTGGTGAATCAAAAGCAGGAGAGTCATAAGGCAGGGCAAGACTGAGCTATACAGCAAGACCCTGTCTCAAGCAAACCAAAGGCATACTCACCAAGCAGTACAGTGTTTAAAGTGAAACTGGATTAGCTGTAGATACGCACTTCAAACTCTATGGCAATCACTAAAAATAAAACTATAGCGGGGCCAGAGAAATGGCTCAGAGTTAAGAACACTTGCTGCCATTTCTGAGAACCATAGTTTAGTTCCCAGCACCTACATTGGGCAGATCATAATTACTTTTAACTCCAGTTCCTGAGGGTTCAACACTCTCTTTCAGGCCTCTTTGAGTATCTGCAGGCATATGACATACACTTACAGACACATACGGGAATGCAAAATTTTGTTTTTTAAAAACAGGGTTTCTCTGTGTAGCCCTGGCTGTCCTGGAACTCACTATATAGACCAGGGTGGCCTTGAACCCACAGAGGTCTGCCTGCTTCCTGGGTTCTGGGATTAAAGGCGTGCACTACCGATGCCCAGCACAAAATTAAACCAAAACCATAAAATGGATTAGTTAATAGCTCAGTGAAAACTATATTAAAACATAAACAGGGTGGAAGATGGAAAAACAAAGGCAAAACTATTAACCCATTTAAACTGGGTCATAAAACAAGACCCAACCAAGTACTATCTATACGAAATTCTTAAAGATAAAGACACAGAAGAGTAAATGGAAGGTGCTGGAGATGTAGCTTGGTAATAGAGCATCTACCTAGTATGTATATAGCACAAAAACAAATATAGGCAGAAAAATATACAATTTTTAATTAGTAGCAATCAAAAGAAAGCTTTGGAGAACTACAGTTGACTCGAGCAAGGGAAATTTTCACTGCTCAAAAGGCAATTATATAAGGTCAAAAGGTAATGTATAAGAAGACAGAAGAATACTTAAAATATATGCACCTAACAGCAAAGCCTGAATATGGGTAAGACAAAAACTGATAGCTACACTGAAACTGGGCCCACAGGATAGTCACAAAATTTCCCTTCAACAGTAGCAACTCACAAAGAGCATTACCCAAGCCACAGAATCCTCAGCATACAGCACACCATAACATTCAGAATACAAATCATACAAGCAATAACTTCTTGGCTCAAAATGAAATTAAACAAGAAGTTGATGCCAGAAAAAAAGCTACATTATTTGGAAACTAAAGAGCACACTTCTGATAACAATGGGTCAATACAGAAGAGTCGAGGGCTGGGATGTGGGTCCGTGGTAGAACACTTACCTGCATGGGTGAAGTTCTGGTAACAAGGTCAAGAGAAAGGATTTTGTTTTAGTATTTTGAACTAAACACTAAAACACAACAATTTAAAATTTGTGGGATCTAGGGCCAGCTTCGTCAACTATGGTCCATAGCACCTTACTGGTCGTCTAACCCAATGTGTGTGGGGGGGGAGATAGCAACAGTAAAAGGTTTTTTAATATGCAGCAACCAAAATAAGCAAACATTGTGATAGTCTGAGAATGGCCCCCATGGGCTTGTATCGTTGAATGCTTGGTTCCCCCAGTTGATAGAATTGTTTGGAAAGAACTAGGAGGTGTGTCACTGGGGGCAGGGTCTGAGGTTTCAAAAGCCCACACCATTCCTACTCACCACTCTGCTTTATGCTCATAGACAAAAACAGCTCTCAGTTACTGCTCCAGCGCCATGCCTGTCACCTTGTCCCCCACGTCATGATGGCCATGGACTCTGACCCAAACTAAATGCTTTATTTTACAGGTTGCCTTAGAAGTAGTGTCTTAACACAGCAACAGAAAAGTAATTAAGACAAATATGTAATAAATCCAAGATATTTCTAGACGCTTTTGTCTATGATGCATTCCATGACTTGAATACAGCCTTGCATCTCAACACATGACGTGAATACTCTGTACTATGTATGCAATGCCACCAAATGCTGCCTGAAACACACCAGCTCAGATTTGATAGTCATTAGGTAATGAATTAGTGTTTATACTGTCTATACAAAATTTTTCCATCAGCATATAAATATTAAATCTGACTGTGTTTGGACTGGAATGTGTTAGACTTTATTTTTTAGACTTGCTGTTTGAGTTCCTGACAAGTTTCATAAAGACTTGTTAAATGAATTTTGCCCTGGAATTAGGACAAAATTTTACAATTTTCTGCAATGGTCCTAACCACTTCTGTCATTTGTATTACATACTTACTAGAGTGGCACTCCCAGCACTGATGTTTATAAAGTCAAAATGAGCCGGGCGTTGGTGGTGCACGCCTTTAATCCCAGCACTCGGGAGGCAGAGGCAGGCAGATCTCTGTGAGTTTGAGGCCAGCCTGGTCTACAGAGCTAGTTCCAGGACACCCTCCAAAACCATACAGGGCAACCCTGTCTCAAAATAAATAAATAAAGTCAAAATGCTGATCAGTTTTTGGAAATACAGAAGATGCTCTAAATCCTACAACAGCAAGTACTCAAGATGTAACTCTTCATGTAAAAAAATATACAAAGACATCCATTTCCCCAGTATGAAAACTTGCTTTTGTTGTTAGTAACTGGTAAAATTATATGTGTACCAAAGAACTTTGAAAATAAAGTTCTCTGATTTATTATCAGTAAGTGATTGATTTGTATACCTATTTTGTAGCCCCAGAGTCAAATAAAATTTCTCAGGTGTATAAAAATTTTAAGAAACCTTAATCAAGAGCATAAGCAATATTCAAAAGATAATTTATAGCACTGAATGCATATATTAGGGATAACAATCTAAAGGATGTAAGTTAAGCTTCCACCTTAGTAGACAAGAAAAAGAAGAGTAAATTAAATAAAAGAACAAGTAGAACAAAAAGAAATAGTCTAAAGCAGAAAACTGGTAAGCTTTAAACTGTAGTTTTGCTCATTTTTATCCTGAAACTTCTAAGCAATAAAGTGTATTAGATAGTCTCAAAGAAGTTTTAATTACTATTAGAAATAATACAAGGTACAAGTTGTGATGGTACATGTTCTAGCTCTCAAGAGGCTAAGGCAAGAAGATCCTGAATCAGAGGCCAGCCTGAGCTCTATATTTGAGACTGTCTTAGAGGATGGATGGATGGATGGACAGACATATATCAACTTACTAAAAAGCTTAGGAATGAGGTGAGAGGAAAACTGGCTCACCTGTTGCTTCAAAGGTCAACTTTATAGAGCCCCATGGTGTCTTCTCTTTGGATAAAAGTCTGAAATGGGCAGGATTTCTTGGAGAAACTTCTGGAGCCGGAAGATACCAATTTTTCCTATTGGAAAGGTAGCGTTAATATTTAGGATGCCCTCTTAACTTATAATAAGTAAAACATAACTCACAGAAGAGTTCAGAATACACAAGGGGTATGAAAACACCTAATGAATATGATAAATGATACCATCTCCTTTGATGCCCATGCTGTGTAACAAATCCTTCCTAACTTTAAAATCAAAGAAGTTAAGGGCTGGAGAGTCAAAAGCTTGGCTGCTTTTACAGGGGACCCAGGTTCAGTTCCCAGCATCCACATGGCAGCTGACAGTCACCTGTAACTCTAGAGCCAGAGATTCAACGCTCTCTTCTGACCTTCAAAGGTATAAGGCACACACACTGTGCATATAACTGCAGGGAAAACATACATGCACATAGAATGTATCTTTTTAAAAGAATAGGAATTACCTAGGCAATTCCACTGCCCATCCTATTTTCTCAGGTGCAATTCTGAGATGCCAAGCTGGAATGAAGCTGTAACTGTTGTTTGTATTATATTAAGAGGGTCACCCTTTCTAACTACTACTCAGGTTTCTTGAAGAGAGAAGTCTTAAAACTATTCTCCTGGGTCTATTATCTGACTAACGAAATGGACATTTTATAGTCATATTACAAACAAGCATTTTGTTGTTGTTGTTGTTGCTCTTTGTAAAGTATTACAAACAGCACTTGATTGAGTTAAGGATAAGTCTCAATAAGAATCCTGATACATTGATAGAATTTGGGAACTAAACACCAACTTAAGCAAAAAGTAATGACCAACCTGATCAGAAAGTGCACCGGAAGATACCAAGGGAAGCCACAGAGTGGGGCATTCTCCTCACAGTGAGCTCGGATTGTATCATTGATCTCAGGAATGTGAGGTGTTATGTGAGACATTCCAGTATAATCAAACCCATTGATCCATATTCCAGAGTCTTTTTTTACTACGTTTCCTTCCAAGTTATGGAAAGTTCTACTCATGTGCTGAAAAGAACAGACTAGTGAGGAGACTGCTGCAGCTGTTTCACCCACGTTCCTCCCCACTCAAAATTGATTAGCAACAGGAAACAAAAAGGAAACTTAGCAATTACTAACTTAACTGTTAGTGGTTTTTTTTTCCTTTTAAACTAGACACTATTTATTGTAAATCACAAATATAGTTGAAGTATATTTTAATTACACATAAAATTTAGCTGGGCATTGGTGGCATACATCTTTAATCCCAGCACTTGGGAGGCAGAGGCAGACGTATCTCTGTGAGTTCAAGGCCAGCTTAATCTACAAAGGCTGAAGTGGAGGGTCACTTGAACCCAGGAATTGAAGGAAATCTAGGCAGCGTGTACTGCTCTTCCAGAGGACCCTGGTTCAATTACAAACACCCACATCAGGTGGTTCATAACAACCTGTAACTCCAGCTCCAGGGAATCAACACCTTTGGCTTCCTAGGCCACCTGCACTCAGATACAAATACCCACACAGACACATGTATATACATAATATAAAATGTCTTTTTTAAAAACCCAAAGGACAAAAAAATTCAAATTATATTCAAATTTAACAAATCATGGAAAGCACATGTGTATAATCACACTCATTTCCTCCTCAGTGCATTATATGCAGTTAATCCAACTACAGAGAAAGACAGGTATGGCAGCAGACCACATGTCAGTCTTAATGCCCAAAGGACTTTCGATGCATTTAAATAGCTACTCAGCAGCAGAGAGCAGCACAGAAAGGGCTGGCATGGCATGGCATGGGTTAGCATGGCACAGGAAGCACATGTTGGAACTCACGGCTATTAGCTTTGGGTAGAATACAGCTTTCACTCTATGAAAGTAGGTGATCAGCGACAGAAACTTGCACGGCTGGCAGGGCCTAAAATAGTTATTATTTTGCCCATCAGGGGGAAAAGAACCAAAACAAATAACAGTCCTTTTAAAACTGAAAATGTAGCTTTTCCTAAATTCTACTGTCAGAATTGGGACAGTTGCCACGCCACTGAAGACCATGTTGGACCTCCTTAAAAACTGTTCTTCACCAAAGGTTTCACACAAAACAGATCACTGTCCTAAAGACTACCACCAAGGACTAGTTGGCTTCCTTTCAAAACCTCTCACATTGCAGTCTTTTTAATTTTTCAATCCTTGAGTAATCTAGTATAACTCAGTTAGCATTGTATGACCACTCTAAAACCTTTGACAAAACTGAAAACAAGCCTTTGGCTATATAGTACCACTTCTAAAAGGTTTTAGGAAAAGACCTGAAATCTAAAGAAAATCCTAAAGTACATTTTAATAACCCCTTTTTAGGTTATTTTTATCACATATTACTTTGAATGTTACTAAGGCTCAATTTTACTAGCAATTTTTAATTCCTATTTTATTTTGCTAGTAATGGTTTAAGACTTTTAGTCAGCCTATAGATGTTTATGCATTTGTATTTTCAACTGTTCATGATTTCCAGGTTATATATGTTCATCTATTAGACAGACAGACAGACAGACAGACACACACACACACACACACACACACACACACACACACCATGGAAAGTGTGCCTAGCTAATAAGAATGCCCACTGATGGGCAGTGTTCCTTGTTTTATACACAAAGAAACCTAGACCAACTAAATTATGTCAACAGCAGAAAAGTCAGTTTTCCTGTTCATTAGTGGAGCTCAAAGCACACACAACCAGTTTCATCTTCTGACTCTCACTGCTTACGAAGAACTGCCCTTACCTGAAGGAACACTCGCTTTGGCTTTGGACTCGCAGGATTGGAGCTGTATGGGAAAAAGGCTCCACCGCAGACGAGGAGAAGTGTGACTGCACACACCAGTGTTAGAGTCAGCATGGTTTTCTTTGTGCTTTTCACAAGGTAGATGAATTTAATCTAAACACAAACAGAAAAATTACAAATTCATATCACTGGTATAGAGGTAATTTAAATGATTATTTTTTAGTGGGTATTGTCACTAGGAGGCTGGGTAATGTACTGTGACACCCAGTAAACAAAGTAATTCCTCAGGTATTTCCATAAGAGCCTAGAAAATGACAGGTACCCTCAACTGGTCAGGACAGAACTTTGTGACTGTGGGCCAGAAACCAACAGGGTGAATGGACACAAAGCACAATGACCCTGTGCTCAAACATCAAAGGAAAAGGGACCAGAATCCATCCATTAGCAGTCAAGCCACTGCCTACTGTGACTCACAGCCAACAATGGCCAGACCTGCACAGCAGACTACCACTGAACTGAACACAAGCGTGGCGTCAAAGCTGCCAAACTGTCACAGGCAGGGTCTTATGCCTAAGCATATGTTTCAATAAAACTCAGACTCCACCTTTAGTGTTTATAACATACTAATAATAAGAGTTGGAATCATACAGACTAGTTTTTAGATGGATCTTCTAAAAGTTCCATTTGAAGAAAAACTACACTATGAAACAATATTGTGCTTTTAAGTTAACCATTGTGAACACTAAACAATGAATCTGAAGTTGGGATAGTAAACATGAATTGCTCAGTTGAAAGGTTGGCATCCAAAAAATATACTTAGCTTTTTTATTGTAGCCAAATCAGCAAATTGAAAGAAGAGTGCACACAAAATGCATTTGCAGTCCTCTCAGGTCTGAGACACTATCTAAAACTAGCTCCTACTTTTGTTTCTTCATCTTCCTGCCTATACCCTAAACTCAAGAAGAACATGAATACAAAGATATTTCATTGAGAGAAACAAAAAATGTGTATCAAAGTCTATGAAAAGTTAAAGGCTCCTCATATCTAATGTCCCTATATCCTTTTTTTTTGGGGGGGGGCAATTTCAATCAAGGATGGGAGGCCTTACTCTTGTTTACTACATTAGTAAATAATCACCCCAGATAGCAAAACAACTATAACCCTACTTGTTCCTCTACCAAACTGTCATAATGCCCCAAATGTTTAAAGTGTCCCAAGTAATTAGCTTCCTGTCTACTGGAAGTCTGGTAATTTGTACATACAGATGATGTTCAGTTAAAGTTGGATGAAGGAATAGAATTGGAGAGAAAATATTTTTTAATCACATATATGTGTGTATTTATTTTATTTTTTCATGCTTGCTATAGTGCTATAGTTCTGGCACTCTCAAGCCTACCTATGCCAAAGCTGTCCTAAAATCCACTTGAAGCTACCACTTTCTATTGAAGTTCTCTCATCTTCAAATTGTAAGACTCATCTTCTAAAAGGTTATAAATGAATAGACTCACAGAATGAAGATGACGGAGTGGCCATAAAGAGACAGTATGCTTAGATTCCATAATTAAGTACCTTTACAGTTGTATTGCCTTAAATGTTGTATCTCATATCACTTTTAAGTTCTTAAATGAGTACAGAATCAACTGAAGAATCTAAGTGTGGTAGCACAGTCCTGTAATCCCAGCACTTGGTAAGTGAAGGCAGGAGGATCACAAGTTCAAGGTTATTGTAAGAAAGTTTAAGGCTACCCTGGCCCATGTGAGACCTTGTGTCAAAACACCAAAATTAATGAGTGGATCTGGGAAGATAGCTCAGTGGGTAAGAGCACTCGCTGTGCACACATGAGGACTTGAGTTTTAACCCCCTGCACCCATGTAAAAAGCCAGGCATGACTACTCATGCCCCAGCACTGGGGGGCGGACACAGGCAGATCCTGGGAACTCACAGTTTGGCCAGCGTAGCTGATAAGCAAGTTTCCAGGTCAGTGAGAGTTATTCTCTCAGGGACATAAGGCAGGGCCTGGTAGGGGAAGGTACTTGATGCCATTCTGTGCCCTCAGAATGCCATTTACCCACATATGTGTACATAATACACATGAAAAGAAAAAAGGGGCATATATAAGGGATCCCAGAGTAGCCTGTGTGAACTATGACAGGGCTGTTACCCCATGCTTATCATCAAGCCCATTTCAGCTCTCAGCCAATCGGATACAACCATGGTACCCAACAAAGAATAACTCTAGGGAATATGGTAACTTACCACTTAACAAGAATGTAATTGTTTTCTAAAACATAATTTTTAAAAGCCTCAATAACTAAAAAGCTTCTCTGAAGTAAAGATTATGGTTCAGTGTTCTATTACCCAAGGAGCAACATTTATTCAGTTAGGAAGCCACTGTCTTCAACACTGTGACACATAAATAAGAAAACAGAGAAAGATGCCTTACAACAACTAAGAGTAACAGCACTGTTTTCACATCGTAATGAAAAGGGTATAAGGTTTTTGTTTTAGGGGAAGAATGGTGGTTTTGAGACAGGTTCTTACCACACAGCCTTGTCCTAACCTAACCTATAACTCACAATGTAGACCAGCCTGGCCTTAGACTTAGGTACATTCCAACATGCTCACCTGAATTTTTTTAATATTTCAAGAGGTATTCTCTCTAAAAACCTTCCTAATAATACTTTATGGTAACACTTTAATCTCCTTCTTCTGGCTTCTAAGAAAGCCATGACGGGAGGACTTTCCTAATCTCCAGTTTCACAGGTTCCTTATTCGCCCTTCCACATGATCATGGGATAGGATTCAAATGGCCTACACCTGCATCACCTTTATAAGCACCACAAGTTCCAACCATCCAGAACAGTGGTTCTCAACCTGGGGGTGGAACAACCCGTTCACAGGGGTCACCTTAGACCATCAGATTTGCATTATGATTCATAACAGTAGCAAAGTTGTAGTTATGAGGTAGCAACAAAATAATTTTAAGGTTGGGGGTCACCACAACATGAAGAACTGTATTAAAAGGTCACAACATTAGGAAAGTTGATAAGCACTGCTCTATAGAGTAAGTACAATGAAAACCTGATTCATAATTCTAACTACCTTTAGATCATACTCCAATTTACAGAGGACAGAACTCTACTCTCTCCTTTATGGTTGCATTTTGTTTTTTAGGACAGGGTCTCAATTTGTAGTCAAGGTTGACTTCAAACTCATGATCTTCCTGCCTCAGCCTCCCAAGTGCCAGGACTACCATTATGTGTCTCCATGCCCGGGCCTCTAACTCTTGTAATCCTCACAACAGCAAATCTATTATTACGGTTTGAACGGGAAATGTTTCCTTCAAGTTGGGAGGTGCTATTTGGGGAAACTAGCAATTAAACGGGCAAGGTCTAAGTGGAGAAAATAGGTCTTGGGTCTGTTATCCCTGGCTTCTTGTCACAATCTCATCTAGACTGCCACTGTGCCTTCCCCACCATGATGGACAGTCCCCTCAGCAACCATGAGCCAGAATAATTTTTTCCTTTCTTAAGTTATTTTTACCAGGTGTTCTGCCACAGTGATATTCAACAAGAAAACTTAACAAATACAGAAATACAAGGTTGAAGGGTTAATAATAAAACTACAAGTAAACAACAAACATTAGGATTCCATTCACCTCTGTAAATACCAGTAAGAGCTAATCATTACCCTGTAGGTTTTTTGTTTGTTGGGAGGAGGGGCCATTTCCGTGTTGGGGAACTGAGCCTAGGGCCTCATGCATCAGTGAGCTACTGTCTCAGCCTTTAATCTGTATCTTAAAGGCAAGCAGTTGAGAAGTCAGGTTTCTTGTAATACTAGTATAGTCAATAGCAAGCAGTGTGCCGAAGAATGACTTTAGTAAATGCAGAGCTTTCCTGGTAGCTAGGGAAATTCTGTGGATGGTGTAGACTATGACTGTGGCATCCCCCTGACCTTGCTAGGTCTTGAGAACTTAAGTTCCACAAGGAACTCCCTTCACTGCAGGTATGAAAAAGCTCACCATGGCCCAGGAACAACTAAGCAGTCAGGAACTGCAGTCCCTGTCTCCACTTGGTTCCCTAGCCTCAGATCTCAAGGCACCTTATAGGTGCTCAGTAAGTACTCCTTAGGAATTGCAACTGAAAAAGCACTAAACAGCTGCTGTCCCTAGAGAGGCTCAGCATCCGCTGTAGACATCTTACCAAAGAACTAGTCCTAGTCCATACTAATCAACCATCTTTTATTTCCATTAAGGAGTTCCATGAGAAAAGAAGCCAAGATTGCATACCTGGGCAGTACACTCATAGAGACTGATAAGCATGTATGGGTGTCACCCCGAGAGGCAAAATTCATGAATTTTGACATGACAGCAATGAAGGAGTAAAATGATACTGAAAATGCCTCAATGGCACACATAAAAAACATTACTGAAACTACTCTGTATTAACATTGGCCTTTTAACTACCATCTTCAAAACATGCTCATAGGGAGTATTGTACAAGTTCAGGGACACAACATCTCACAGTCCACACAGTATAATTCTGCACATCCATATCTGCTAAGATATACATGGAAGTCTCTTTCTATCCCCATTCTCTCTCCATATATGTGTGTGTGTGTGTGTGTGTGTGTGTGTGTGTGTGTGCGTGTGTGTATGTGTGTGTGTGTGTGTGTGTGTGTGTGTGGAGAGAGAGAGTGGGGATATATATATATATACACATTAAGACAGGGCCTCACCATGCTAGGATATATATGGAAAGTGCTCTCTCTCTCTCTCTCCTCCTCCCTCCCTCCCTCCCTCCCTCCCTCCCTGTGTGTGTGTATATACATATGTTTATATATATATATTTAAAAAAACAAACATTAGAACAGCAACAATAAGATGGGGCCTCACTATGTAGCCTGGTTGGTCTGGAGCTCACAGATCCTCTTGTTTCTGAACCCACAATGTACAAACACTGATCCTATCTTTTGTTTAATTTTTTTCTTAATAAAGTATAAGCAACATAAATTCACAGAATCCAGTACAGCTAAAGTCATCACATATATAAAAAATAAAAACAAACAAAACCCATTTTCCCTTACAAAATAGGAGGAGAGAATCATCACACAGACAGCCAAAATGGAGGCTAGCACAACATCAGGAGGGATTTCCGAACCGCTTCTTCCAAGGATGGGAGTAAACATCTCAAATACAGCCCAGATGAGATACAGTCCATAAAGATATGGGATAAACATCCCCAAAAGGTAAAGAGCAATAAATCTTCCTTGGGCACCTAGGGGAAAAGAAAGAAAACAAGCCTGTAAGAGTCCATGATAAGATGCAGGGCTGGGCTCCTTTCACAGTGCTCACCTGCTTTTGACACCTGACAGAAATGGAATCAGATGTCACTCTAGCCCCTTTGGTACCTGTGATCTAATGCAATCAGGCATTTTCATCAGGGAGGATAAAATACAACAATATTAAAGTAATATAATGGCATATGTTCAGAAACGAGAATGGGATGGGGCATACAGTACACGATATTTGTATGACATAAAAAATAAAGTATTTTGGAAAGCCAATTGGTTAAATATATAATTGATCCCATTTTTATCAAAAAACAAAATGACCCTACCATGTTTCTTGAAGTCCTTGTACACGAAAAGCTTTGTGAACAACGGAAATGCTACCCAGATAGCACTTGTGAATGCAGAGCAAAATCCTTGGTAAGTGAGAACAACAAGAAAAGCACAATGCACAAACAATGAGGTGTCAAAAAACACTTCTCCCAGGTACTGGTTGCTGACATTCTGAAAGAAAGAGAAATGCAATCTTGTTCACAGTCATTCATAAAGTTCTTCTATTACAATTTCTTCAAGGCCAAATGCATAATTTCCAGCATGGGCAACCCTTCAAATTGATGAGGGAACACTCACACTGCTACTCCTGCCAGGTGTGGCTCCTGCAGCTGCTACACAGGACAAGATAAAGAAGGCAGGAGCAACACTGCTCTTTCTGTCATAAGGAAATGTTCCACAATACAGAGATTCCTAAAAACATCCATCCCATATTCCTTTTCTGTTTCTGCAACTTCCGAACACTGTTACAAGCAATCTAGCGGTTCATGAAGGACATTACCAGCTGCTACAGCATCACAAAGCACATACCAAACCACCCACCCTTCACAGCAGTGGCCATGGTGGATGTGTGGCTTGGTTTTCCTATCTTCCTATGCTACTTCATCATCTTTGCCACTTTGACACGTTTCTACTCTTGACACTGTCTTACACATTTGACGCTCCTTTTAAAGGAAGACATGAAGTCCAAGGGCCTCTTATACTATTTGAGATGAAAGCTGCCTACGGAACTTCAAATTTTATAACAGATGCCAAAGTGATTCCATAAATGTAAACCTCTAATTATAATTACAGCGCATAGACACTAAAGAGAGAATGGCTGGCCTTTAAGCTTCTTTTTCTCTCATTCTCATTTATGTCTTAAGGGACCACACTTTAAAGTTCACTAGCAAACAGGTTTGGGTAGTTAGATATTTATATGTCCAACCCGGTATTAAGAGGCATGGTCTTAAAAGAAAATAATTTTCAGACCTCAGCCTGAAGGCTATATGGGTGATGTACCCCTGTTGTCCCAGCACTCCAGAAGCTGAGTCAGACACCCTGAAGTTTGAAGCTGGCCTGGGCTACAGAACAAGAGTTTTACCCAATCTGGGAACACAGTGAGGCTCTACCTCAAAATATTCAAAATAGTAACCGCAGCAGTAATTCTGTCTGAAACTGAATGCACTCAAAGAGCTTAGTAAGGAACACTGAAACTATTAAGCATGTTTTACAGTAAATGCCAGAGCTAAACAAATGGAACACTGGTCTTCAAATCTATTTCCATCCCTCCCTTATGCTATCCTTTTCCAAAATAGTTGCCAGACTTTTCTTGTTTGTTTGTTTGTTTGTTTGTTTTTACTAAATCACAAAACCACTCAACTCTATCCAGCAAGGAATAGGTTTTCATGCTAACCCACCTTTTGTGTGCTATGGTTTTTTATTCCTTTGTCTTTACCACACTAGACTGTTTCTTTGACTATGGCCCAAATGTGTCTTGCACATTCCCACTTTTAACTATCACCAACCTGTTCTCTATCAGGCACTCACGCTTCTAAAGCGCCATGCAAATGTCACCACCTTCACGAATGAAGTCTCAATGCAAAACCCATGCCCCTCCCCCTGCATTCTCAAAGCACTACTTCACATGTACAAAGTACAAGAATCACTATAGTTCTTACATCTTACAAATGAAGCTGAGCACAAAGAAAGACATCACATTCTCACGAGCACTCAGCTAAAAGAGTCTCTAAAACAGTGAGGCAGGCTGGTGGTACAGCCTACAATCCCAGCTACCCAGGAAGCTGGGCAGAAGGAGCAGACGTTCAAGACTCACCTGGGATACAGTGTGAGTTCGGGGCCAGCCTGAGGAAATTTAGTGAGACCCTGTCTCAAAAGTAAAAGCAAAAAAGAAGGAAACAGTAAAGTGCTTAATCTGAAAGGATGGAGACCTATATTCCAATCCCAGAGCCCACATAAATTAGCTGGGTACAATGTACTCATTGGTAATCCCAGCTTGGGTAGGCAGAGAAATGCAGGTAGGTCCCTGAGAATCAGCCAGGCAACCTAGCCCTAATAAGCAAGGCCCAGGCCAGTGAGATTCTTGTCTAAACCACAAGGTGCTCCTTTGCTCCTTGACTGTTCCAGGCCTGCAGCCATCAAGAATTACAGTTAACAATCCAGACAGGGAAGCTCATGACTAAGATGCCTCAGGGGAAACAAATGATCACTGATGCCCTTCACCCTGGGAAGACGCGAGTACCAAAGGCAGAAATTTGGGGAATGCTAGACAAAATACACAAAACCATACCAGATAACATTTTTGATTTGGATACAGAACCCATTTTGGAGATGACGAGACAAACTGGCTTTGGTATGATTTATGAGTCTTTGAAATCTGCAAAGAAGAATGATACTAAACACAGACTTACATGACATGGCCCTTATGAGAAGAAAAACCTCCAGAGAACAACAAAAGGAACACAAGAAAGAATGAGGAGGGCAGGGCACTGCAAAGGCCTGGCTGGTGCTGGCAGAAAGCAAACAGAGCAGAGAGTCTGCACTTCTGAGGAGAGAACAATCTAAAAACTTCCATGGGAAGGGGGGAAGTCGATCACAGTTGAAGAGGAACGCGAGTGTGTCCTGACCGACACACATGTATGCACACCACACACATACATGGCTCCATCCCCAGCTCTGACAAAGTAAAGCACACTGCGCACACTTCTCTCCCACTGTGCCTTCAGCAGCACGTGGGAGAGAGCAAGTGGATTCTGCTTACCATTTCTGCCCCACAACTACCCAACCAACACTACTCAACCGCATTCTGATTTACAGAGAGAACCATGCTGAGAACAGGCATGGGACACGAAGCCACTCTGAGAAAAGTATGATCTGAGCCACAGCCGATGGCTAACGTCTTTCCTCAATAGGGTATGCTAACATGGAAGGGTTCCTCACATCTTTTCACACTAAATGGCAGATAACAAAGACATCTAGTGAGAGGGTGCTAGATGATAGTCTTTCAGGCATCCATCTTAACCCGTGTCAGAACAAACTGACAAACTGGGGGGCAGTGGGGGTGTCCATTGACTGTCCTGAAAATAAAGTACTAAGATTTCCCTCAGTTACATTAGAAATTATAACTTTCTCACTGTAGTTCGCTTTTGGTCTATTACTTCATAACCAAAATCCCTCATTTTTACACAGTTGAAATTATAATGATATGAGAGTATCATATATGTTGGGGTGATGTGTGATAATGCTTTTGTTCATTGTAAAGATCTATCACTCATATTGATTTAATAAAATGCTGACTGACCAATAGCCAAGAAGGAAGTATAGGCAGGGCTACCAGACTAGGAGAATTCTGGGAAGAGGAAAGGGAGAGATAGAGTCTCCAGCCAGACACAGAGGAAGCAAGATGAGAATGCCTTACTGAGAAAAGGTACCAAGCCACGTGGCTAAACATAGATAAGAATTATGGGTTAATTTAAGTTGTAAGAGCTTGTTAGTAATAAGCCTGAGCAATAGGCCAGACAGTTTATAGTTAATATAAGCCTCTGTGTGTTTATTTGGGACTGAACAGCTGCAGGACAGGGCTGGACGGAAACTTCTATCTACAGTTGGGATTTTTGGGGGGGTGAGGGTGAGGAGGTCAAGACAAGGTTTCTCTGTGTACCCCTGGAAGTCCTAGAACTCTATAGACCAGGCTGGCCTTGAACTCTCAGAGATCTGCCTGCCTCTGCTTCTCGATAGTGTTGGGATTAAAGGTATGCGCCACTACCACCTGGCTCTAATAATGTGTCTTTAATCTTGATAACAGACACATTTTTGCCAAAACTTGCATCTAATACATTTAAGAGTTCCTAGATCCAAATCTTCCAATGTGAGTATGAACTTTAATTGCAGAATCCAGCAGAGTAAGAAAGAACCATTACTAGGATATATGGGGTGAGGGTGTAGGAACAATATGAAGGGGAATACCAGGGTACAAGTAATCTGATCAGGGAAATGGGAAAGGGTTACTCTAGTGAGAGATGGGGAAGGAGATAGATCTAGAAGGAGGTGGCAGAAGGGTAAAACAACTAAGGACGTCTGAAACAGTTACAGAGTCATACTGTGATGTGTACAAATATATAGTTTAAGTGAAATTTTCTCACATGGGCTGAGAATGTTCCCTCCAAGAGCCAAAGGCCATCTAACAAAAATCCTAACACCAGGCTTAAGAAGCCCTCTTTTAAACGTTTTTGGTCAGAGTTACCCAAGAGTGTGCCAAAACATTATAGGCTACTGTTATTGCCCTTGGCTGCCCCTCACAGGTAGAAGGTAAGTCCCTATTGCTCAAGACACCATGTACAGACACAGGACCCACAGGCCTGTAAGGTGGAACTCACCTGAATGCATCCTCCCTGGGGTACAAGAAGGCAGCATGTAAGCTTCCAAAGGGAACAACTAATAGTCCTACCTACCCAGCTATGAAGCTATAATGACCAGCATGGCAAGAAAACGCTCAGGATGCAACAGTGACGCACACATCTTGGTGGGAACCAAGCTCTCTTTTGGACTTAAGACCTACTCAGAGGGAAATCATGCCTGGTTCTGAAACCTAGACAACTACATAGGGCTTCTTAATGCCTAACTACTTTCTAAATGTCCTTAGACCCACATATAAGTTTAGTCCTCACCCTGCATCAAGGAAACTTTGCAACAGATGGAGACCATTACAGAAAACCATAACCAATCAAAATGTAAAATTGTGGAATCCAGTCCCAATAGCTACATTTACAAACAGCTTTAGAACCTAAGGCTCAGGGAACATTGCAGATGTGGGGGACAAAGATGGTAAGAATCAGAAGATCAGGGAGTTTGCTATGAGACTGTCTCCTAGTAATATCAGACCCTACATTGATAAGGTCTCACCAACATGACTGTCTAAATGAGCTGCACAAGGCTTCAACCCTACACAAAGAAAGACAGGCAACGAAGGAATGCTGAGAGTGGGAGAAAGACAGTCTTTTAAGGATTGGTTACCCAATACCAAATGGCCAACTCTAAAAACATGCATGAGGAAAACTATATAAACTAAAAAAGGCATATGAAATATGAACATATAGATATATACATATACTTATACATACATGCGTGTAACAACTAATGAAAATAGAGGTCATGAATTTGAAAGAGAATAAGAAGGGGTATATGGGAGGGATTAGAAGGTGGAAAAAGAAGGGAAATAATATAATCTTAAAAATAAAAGAAAGAGGGAAGGGAAACCAATGAGAACATTTTAAATGCACTACTTTAGGAAAGAGGGAGGGGAAACCAATGAGAACATTTTAAATGCACTACTTTAGGAAAGAGGGAGGGGAAACCAATGAGAACATTTTAAATGCACTACTTTAGGAAAGAAGTGCTCACTGTGTCAAGTTGTGTTAGACACTGCCTAAGTACAAACAATGCAGCAGAGAGTTCAGCAATGCCACCATCATCAACCTTAGAGTCCAGGAGAGCACAGTGATATTCATACAGAAATAAGTTATAGAAACAACAGTGGAGGCAGAGAGCCGTGCAAGCAAGTCTCACTACCACCATCATTCTAAATGCTGTGGAAAAATACAGCTTTGTAACTTCACTTAAATTCTACATCCCAATTTTCAGAATAAGAAAATGCCAGGAAATTAACACTGGCAGCATTTTCTATAGCCATGCCGAACAATTTCTAATAGCTCTGAAAGACCATACACAATAAATTCCACTTGTTTGTCTTCAATTCTTAAAAGTAGCAAAAAGAAAGCACACATCAGTCACTTACCACATAATAAAATCTTTTTGCAAGGGTATGTATGAGTATTATTTTAGCCACTGTTGCAGTTCCATACAGGCAAACGGCAACATAAAAGTGGTTGTACCATGAGAGAGACTGTCCAATAAGAGAGACGAACACTGCTATAATAAGAACTGTAACAAGGCTAGTGAACCAGCTAATGAAAGTGATGGCAAGTCCGCACAAGAAGTCTCTCGTGTAGTCAGCATCTAATTAAGAGAAAACAAAAAGTTAATGTCACCATCTTCATCAAATCAATAACAAAATTAGTAGTGCTAAAGGGGCAAATATTAAAACAAAAAGTTCACTACTGTAATTGCAGTATAGTGTAGAAAACTTAATGGGATAAGAATAAAGGATATTCAATGAACTCAGTGAAAGTCCCATTGTATTAAAAATGCTTAAGAGGTGTCTCATGGAACAATTCAGATACCCTCCTTACCAGGCAAAGAGATGGTAATCTTCATCATTTTGGGGATGCTTTGTATTAGCAAGGATCTTTAAAAAGCAAAGTTCCATATAAACTCTTGCTAAAAGACAAGAAAATAGGGCTGGCAAGATGGTTCAGCAGGCAAGTACACTTGCCATACGCGCCTGTAATGATATATGTTTATGATCGATCAAATAAAACTTGCCTGAAGATCTAAGTGTGGAGCTAGCCACACTAGTTATCCATAGATCCTAGGCAATGTGGTGTACACCTTCAATCCCAGCACTCCAGAAGCAAAGGTAAGCAGATCTCTGTGAGTTCAAGGCCACCCTGAGCTATACAGGATTGATTCAGTCTAAAAGAAACAGCCAACAGTGGTGGCTCACACCTTTAATCTCAGTATTTGGGAGTCACATGCCAGCACTAGGTAGGTGGAGACGGGAGTGATACGGCTGGGTGGAGAGAGGAATCTAAGGTGGGAGGAGACAGGAGCTCATGGCATTCAGTCTGAGGGTTCCTAGAAACAGGATCACCTATTTGGCTTGAGGATTCAGTGGAGATAAGAAGTCTCTCTTGTGTCTGGCTTCTTTACTTCTCTGATCTTTCAGACTCTGGGTTTTTATTATTATGACCTGTTAGAACTCATGTTACACAAGCCTAACATCCTTGAAGCCCCAGGCCCCACAGAACTGCAGCCCACAAGTTGTCTACTGACAACACACATATACACTGTGGCACACTACCACCCCCACACATGCATACACACACACACAAATAGATGAATAAATAAATGTAAAAATGTTTTGAAAGATGTTAACACTGGAAAACAATGACAGGGAAAATAACTGGTGGTAAAGAATTATTTAAACTGCTGCTAAATACTTATCTTGCATAACATACAACAATTTAGCCTATGAAACATTTCAAGCAGAAATTATTTGGGTTGGAGGGAACAGTTTGACCAGAAGTGCTGCATCTATCTTCTGGACTGTGCTGATGGCCTGTCGTGGAGAAGACTCAATGGGACTTTTCACTAACAATCAATCTATAGGGCCAGCAGGACGGCTCAGTGTGACCCCCAGAACCCATACGGTGGAAGGAGACAGTCAAGTTCCACAAGCTGTCCTCTGGCTTCCACACTTGTGTGTGCCCGCCCACACACACACACACACACACACACACACACAGATACATAAATATTTTTAAAAAATGAAAAGTCAACTTCTACAAACCTTTTTTTTCTTTTTGGTTGTATGTAAATTTAACTTTTAACACAAGTTATAGAGTTGAATATTACTGAATTTCAAGAAATATTAGAATTTGCTATAAATAAGTAGGGAAATCATTCTAACAGCTTCTTTTTTTTTGGAGAAGCACATACGAAAGCACCTCTCTTTACATCGTCTACAATACTAAAGTTCTGTTTTAGTATTACTAGTAATTTTACCTCATAACAAAAGACTAAGCAACTGTGAGAGTCGAGTGGACAACAGACAGTTTCCCACAGATCCCTGCAGGGCACAGGGTATTACACTGCACAACAGGTCTTTGGCATTATTTGGCTCTGCCTTCCATTAGTTTGGCTAAGGCAGAGAAATCGGCAAACTTTACCAGTTTCAGGGTGAGTACTAAAACTGTTGACTTCACCAACCTGAAATTATAACGAGCATATCAATTCAGTACTTATCTACAAATTCCTAAAAATATAAAGTAATATTCTCCTAAGATACTGTACTTCCTGGGAAAAAATAAAAACAATAGCTAAAATCTCTCCAGAAATCACACCCCCATTCAGTATCCACACCTTAGAGGGAAATACTTACTCCTATGTTTGGGCTGCAGCAGTTTTTTCCCCAGGTACAGAACAACAGCCATAACCGCCATGCAGTTTATTATTGTGCCAACACGAGAAGGATATGCAATGACAAACAGGCCGAACACATCAAAGAAAACCACGTTTCCGTGTCGATACTCAGACGAAGAAGCCAGCATGTCAGATGTAGCTAGGTATTTAAGAACTGCTAAAATGTTGTCACCTTTTAGTAAGAAAGATAAGACGATCTAGTAAACGATTGGATCGTGACTTACACACACCATGTAAAGCAGAAACAGATCAGGCACCATCTGAAACAGAAGTGCCTGGGAGCAGTGTGAGCAGGCGCCTTCCTACCACTCGCCCCTCTCCCCTTTCTTACCAAATTTCCTAGGTAAGGCCCTGCTCTTGCTTTTCTTCCTCTCCACTTAGAAGCTCCAACTACAACCCTCTACTACAGCTACTCCCTAAGATCAACTGTACAACCCCAAAGCTCCACTTCAGGCCTCCCTTGTGAAATACATTATAACCATGTGAGAGCCTGTCCTCCCTCGTGGAATGCATTATAACCATGTGAGAGCCTATTCTAAAGACCAAAAACCTGTGGTGAAACAAAGCTTCTCGTGAAGTTGATCAGCACAGAACAAGTTGCTACAGAATATTAAGAATTATTGGGAATGGGAGGCAAAGGCAGGAGGATTGTGAATTCAAGGCCGGCCTAGGCTACACAGCAAGTTCAAAGCTAGCCTGAGCTATACAGTAATGTCCTTCTCTTAAACAAAAATAAAACGAAAACAATGTTTTCTAGAAGGGGCTGGAGAGGTGGCTCTGGGACCAGGGATACAGTGCTTGACTGGAGTGCATGCACAAGGGTTAGGTCCCCTGTACTTGGGGAACAAGCCAGAACCAATAATAATAAAAAGCACATTTAGTCAGAGGGCAAAAAGGTGACAACTTCAAGGCCATCCTGGGCTACATAGAGAAATCCTATCTCAACAAAACAAAACAAAAAAGTTAAAAAAAACATTAAAAACCTTAAAAGGTAAGCCAGGTGTGGAAATGTATACCTACAATCCTTGCACATGTTAAGCAGTACCCTCCTACCAGATCTTGATGGCTTCTAAATCATCTACAATTTTCTTCCCCCATATATTTCAACCTTGTCTTCTACTTCTGAAAATACACCATTCTAGTCTGAAGCCTTCCACTCCCATGCCCTACCCCCGTGTTTCCTCCTTCCCGTGCTGTGCTCTAACTTAAAAATTCATCTTCTTTCCATAGCCCAAATCCCTAACAATTCTCCAAGGCTCAGGTTTGCCTCCCTAACGTCTTTAGCTCTCTGGGAAGCACTGCAATGCTCTGTGCTAAGTCAGGGCCGCATCTGTCCTCACCACCCTATCATGGGCCCATGTTATCATCCTCTACTCTCAGCTGGCGCCACAAACCCATGTCCTGATGCTACCTCCAATTCATAGCTCTCACTTTAGCTACATTCTTTACTATTCAACAATCCTCCCAGCCTGGGGCTGTCCCTTCCAGTCCTCACAGTGATCAGCATCCCCACCACAGCCCTGAGTCACTCCTTTTTACGTGACCTCAGTGACAATTTCTAAGTTTTTAATTGCTAAGTCAGACAGTAAAGACTAAAATTTAAGCCCTCATCTTTCCAACTCCAAATCTAACTCATTCAACCACATACAGTCTCTCAATCACACAGACTATAGCACGCACTTTCTAGATATTTTATCACTGTATGTCAAAAGCCAAACCTGTTAAATACCAACCTGCTCTCTGAATGGAATCTATGAGAATTCTGTCCGCTGTGTCATATTTGGTGTGATATATATATCCATTTTCAATAAAAGCTAAATCTATTCCTAAGACAGACAATGGAAAAAGTGATCTTACTTTGGGCTACAGAAGTCACCAAAAGAGTTAGAAATGCAAGACAACAAAGAGTGGGAGTAAAGACCCTGACGACCCTTGGCATCTTTGGGGGTGAAGCGCTGAACATTTGTCTCCATCTCCCACAACACCACCCTACAGCAGGCAGCATTTCAGTTACTATGGGATTTTAAAGGATAGCATCAAGAACTGTGCTTTGGTGAGTTAGAAGATAAAGCTCCATATACAGCATCCTCAAGAAGTAAACTTTGCTTTTGACCCAATAGTCTGTGGCCACTGACAGAACACCTGGAATGTTTCCAAAGTCTCTGTAGATCCGGAAGTCGGTATCAGAAGGAATGATTCCACTCTGAAAAACCTCCTGAGCCACCACGGAAGCAAATGGGTGCTTAGCTGCTGAGACATAAGCCTGGACCAGCCATGGATTTTCAGGGCCTGAAATGAAATGAGACAATACAATACAAGGTTAGCCAGATAGCGCTGTTCAACATAGCCACATGTGGTTGGCTACACAGATGAAATGGACAGCTAACTGATGAGTATTCTTTTAGGAGTGATGAAAATGTTAGGAGCTGGAGAGATTGTTCAGTGGTTAGAGTTTTTGCTGCTCAGTCATGAGGACAAGAGTTCAGTTCCCAGCACCCATGTAAAAGGGCTCACAAACACCTATAACTCCAGCTCCAAGGGATCCTATGACCTCTTCAGACCTTTTTGGGCGCCTTCAGAGACATGCATATACATTCACAAACATGAGCGCACACACATAAATAAACCTTTTTTTTAAATGATCTAGAATTATGACAGTGGTACAACTATGGAAATACCTAAAAAAACAAAAAACAAACAAACAAACACTGACTTTTAACTATTTAAGTTGGTGAACTACTTACAGGACATTTAAATTTATCTTGATATAATAAGCCATGATTTATATTTATAAATATTTAAATATACTCTAAAGAAGGCTACAGCTGCAAAATACCACATTTTAAGGAAATAATATGTGTATGTGTTCATGTGCATAAGTAGACATTATTTAAAAATCCCAGAAGGATGTCAAACAAATTGCAGTCTGCTTGCTCAGAGTGCCTTAAAGGGTTTCTTCTACTCAGCTGCTAGAACCTGGATTTTTCAAAATGGAACATATATTAATGGTTTGATCTGTTTAAATTTTACAAGGTTGTATTTTGTTAACACTTTCAAACACGCCGGCAATCATCCTGACTCACTATAGTGCTGGCCTGGTGGGCCACTGTTCCTCACATTTAGTGAGTATTCCAGCCATCAAAAGCTCCCCAAATGAGCATTTCCCTCCAATGGCGCTTTGGAGAGTACAAACTTTGATATGAAAAGCCAGGATAGGACAAGTTTCACCACACAGAAAAACGCTGAGGACGGCAATCTGGCACACATTCTCAAACACAACCCACATCTGCTAGCCCAGAGGTGCCTGTTCTCATACGGAAATGCTAATGGCCTTTCTGAAGACAGCACCACAGGGAAGCTGGTCGTCTCTAGGCAGTGAGTGGCTCTGCTGGGATCATAAGTTAAAGGCATATGATGAAGGCACTTAGCAGTACACTTCTGGCGGGAAAATACGTAAGACAAGGTGTCACTTTAGCAGAGCCTGGGATTTTCACAGCAGCTGAGACTCACTGTTATTTTTGCTTATAGTTCTCTGCTGCTGCTTTTTGATTTGGTAGCTGTTGAATGTGTTCTCCTATCCTGGATAGCGTCTGAGAAACTGGAGGTGGAGGGGGGGAAAGCAGCTGCCTACCCCTACAGATGTTAGACTTCAGCTGCTTCTCACTGATTACATAGAAAAATCTGAGAGCTAAAAAGTCTTGAATTTCGTGTGTGTGTGTGTGTGTGTGTGTGTGTGTGTGTGTGTGCGCGCACATGTTTAAAGGCCTACATCACCAAACTGGCAATGCTGTACCATAACTGAAGTATGATACAGATCCATTTTGAATGAGTATAAAGTAAGTTTGAGAGCGTATTGAAATATGATGCTGTTTAGGTTATAAAAAACACTTAGTATTTAGTGTAATTTCAAAACTTAAACAATACCATGTCTTTTAAAGATGCTACAAAATAAGTTTCTACAACCTTAGTCATTTCCTCTAGCCCATCTCACCCAAAACACTACTCGCCATTAAGACTCCTGGCAAATGGCGCATGGTAGGACATGCCCGTAACCCCGCTCTGGAGGAGGAGGCCGAAGGAGCAATACAGGAGCAGCCAGGGATACGAAGTAAGACTGTCTTGACTCAAACAACAGCAACAGAGGCAGCTTTTGGCAGGAGCTGTGTGTGTGGCTGAAATGCATTTTACTTTGTCCAAATTTCTAGCAGAGGCAGGACAAGAAATGGACTTTCCAGAGTCAGGTCTTAACAGGCCTTGACTGAGCAAATCTGTGAGCTTTAAGTTCTGCTAGGATGACCAGTACATGGTATTTATTGATTGTATCCTGTTATCTTCAGGAAAACTTCAGCCTAAAATTTAAACTCTCTGGCTATTAAGTATAATATATATTATGTTATATATTGTATAAATATATTAAGTATAATAACCAGAGAACTACTAAATAAAATGGTTGCTCTCCATTTCTGATTTTTTTTTAAATAAACTCAGTGATGAAATTAAATCCCTTAAACTTCAGGTAAATTTGCTCATTTTAACTCATAAATTATCATTTAAATCCCTTATAATCATCCACAATTAAAAAATAATATTCACCATTATATGATAGTGATTTTTTAAAATAATATTTGCATATAATAAGTACTACTCAGGAGCCACATACTGATCACATTATTTTGTTTTAAAACATTAACAAGAACAGGCAGGAAGACCACTGGAGCTCAATGGCCAGTCAGCCTAGCTGAAGGCATAAGCTCCAGGCTCAGCAAGAGGCCCTATCTCTTTAAGGTAGAATGCAACTGAGGAAGACACAATATGTTAACACCTCTGGGCTACCACAAGCATGTGCGTCACGCAAACACACACACACACACATACATATACCACACATATACACACCAAAAAATGTTTCACAAAGACAAGTTAAAAATTACCTCACATCTTAAAAATAAATCTCATTCAATACATTGCTCATTAAGAGGTTAGTGACACTGAAAAACTTTCCACTGTCATAAGATTAGACTGCACTGAAATGCTCAGTGTACAGCCTCACATACCTGTTTGGAACACAAGTTCTTTCCCTCCTACACCTGCTGCCTCCAGGTTAATAAATGCACGAATCAAACTGGCCCAGGGATGTTGAGTAATAAAACCATGACTGGCCTTAATGAGAGAAACAAAAGTAGGTTAAAATATGTTTTTATACTGCTTATTTGCATGACAGAATGGCTATCTTGAAAAGGTGGGGACTATGAGAACAAAATAAAAAATTTTAAAGGCAAACTCTAAAGACATTTTCCTGTATATAATGGTGTTCAGTTAGCCAAGTGGAAAGTCACTGTGAGGATATGCAAAAGTTAAGAGAATACAGGAGAGATAATCCATATGGTTGGGCATTCATGCTATGTACCTTCCTCAAACCATCTCTCTGAAACTCAGAAGAGAGTGATTATAACATTAAAAGGCCCTTGAATCAACTCTTCTGGGCATGGTGGTACATGCCTGTAATCCCAGCATGAGCTGAGGCTAAAGGATCACAAGTGCTAGGCTATCATGGAAGACACAGCAAGACCCTGTTTCATAAAACCAAAAGTGAAAACAGTCAGGCAGTGGTGGCACACACCTTTAATTCCAGCACTCAGGAGGCAGAGACAGTCAGATCTCTATGCATTTGTCATCAGCCTGATCTATAGAGCTAGTTCTAGGAGTGTTACCAAACAAACACTGTCCTTGAAAAAAAAACAACAAAAAAGTGAAAATAAAAGAATCATATACTAGCAAGATGAGCTGTTCTCAGTTGTGTTTTTAACTTAATGAGCATGTCTGCATTTACGGGTATTTTTAAAGTACTGCTAAGTACAGTATTTGTTTTACATATTATTTTATGATATAACTCATATTGCTAATAAAACACATTAAATGTTACCAATCGCCGGGCGTTGGTGGCGCATGCCTTTAATCCCAGCACTCGGGAGGCAGAGGCAGGCGGATCTCTGTGAGTTCGAGGCTGGGCTGGACCGACAGCCTCGAAAACAATACAGAGAAACCCTGTCTCGTAAAAACCAAAAAGAAAAAAAAAAGTTACCAATCATTATTGCTCTCATTATTATTCAACTCAAATGTTTAAAACAATAAAACCTTACTTGCAAGACATTTTCCTCAGCACCGTTGAAGAGAAACACCACAGCATGCTGCAAGGGTTCTGATGACACCGACATGCGACGGAGAACTTCGAGCATCACTGCACAGCTAACTGCGTCATCACTGGCACCTTGGAGTCAGAAAACAGAGTCACTTCTCAGAGTCTCAGCTCTTCTCATTGCTGGTGTGGATGCAGTTTTCTTTACCCTCAGAGAAGCGTCATGACAGGTGCATGACCTTTCGGAAGCATAACTCTCATCATAGGATGACAACTATGCCCAACAAAGACAAGCCCCATTAAGATCCTTGTCTGAAGCCGGGCGTTGGTGGCGCACGCCTTTAATCCCAGCACTTGGGAGGCAGAGGCAGGCGGATCTCTATGAGTTCGAGACCAGCATGGTCTACAAGAGCCAGTTCCAGGACAGCATCCAAAGCCACAGAGAAATCCTGCCTCAAAATGTCAAAACAAAAAAATTCTTGTCTGGTATGTTCAATGACATAAATGGTACCTGGAACCATGCTTACAGTACATACTCAATAGCTGTGTTAATAAATAAACCAGAAGGACCTAAGGCCAACTGGAAGTTATCCTCTCCCACAATCCTCTGGGATATTCTTTATTTCTGATACTTATGCCTTCCTCCACTCTATCACTTCTTGACCTTCAAAATCATAAAAGCTGTAGCACTTCACATTTACAGAGGGAGGAACACTGTGCAATGGATGTTTACACTGGATGGGGTAACACTTTTTAAAGTTTTTTTTGAAGGGGCAGAGTAATGGAAGAGTATGAAGAAGGCACCTGAATGGTAAGACACAGCAGAAAAAGCCAATGGCTGGGCCTGCCCCAGCACTGAAAGGGTATAGCAGCACTCAGTCCAATACTCTAGTCTCTACATCAGAAAATCATATTAACTAAAGATGATAAGAACTCTAGTTTTCTGATTTAAAAAATAATGAAATCCATTATTTTAACATCTGTACTGACTTTGTGTGCAGGTGGGGAGGAGATGGCACACTTGCCACAGTGCACATATGCAAGTGTGGGACAATCTTTGAGAGGTCACTCTTCCCTTCCATTACGTGGGTCCAAACTCAGGCAGCTGGGCTTGGTGGCAGGCACCTTTGCGAACTGAGCCATCTTGCTGGATCCCATGTACTGACTTTAAAAGCTCTGGGAGAGAGCCGAGCAGTGGTGGCCCGCACCTTTAATCCCAGCCCTCGGGAGGCAGAGGCAGGCGGATCAATGTGAGTTTGAGACTAGCCTGGTCCACAAGAGTTAGACCAGAACAGCCTCCAAAGCCAGAGAGAAACCCTGTCTCGAAAAACAAAACAAACAAAAAAAGCAAACTGATTGGTTATGTGATGACACTAAAAAGTTCTTGTTAGACTTTCTAAGTGAGGTAGCTCATGATACTGTTGACATACTCAAAGGGGTCCCCATCCTTCATCAGTATAGACTGAAATAGAGAGGAACCAATGAAGCACAAAGCCACCTCAACATAACCGTCAGAGGGCTGCAGGGAGAGAAGTAGGACTGGGCGGAATGAGAGTGGGAGGCATACGGGAGTTCATAGGCAATTCTGATTTCTGTAGACCTGCTTTTCCCATGACAGGGAGTTTAAAGGGCATCTGGAGTGAGCAGACACGCCCTAATTCAGGCAGTAGCACTTCTGGGTGTGCACGCGATAACAAAGGATGCTGCGGCATCCAGTGGGGGCTGGAGAGCAGGGTGTCATCCACCCTTCCCTATCTAGAAAGCAGAGTGATGGCTCCACCTCACAGGTAATGCACAGCGCAAACAAGACAACACCCATAGCCTGGCTCCTGGGAAACATCCCACCTTAGTTTTCTTCTCTGAAAACTTAGGGAAGGCTCTGTAACCAGGGAAACTAAAATGCTTGCTGTGGCTCTCTGTTAGATTCTAAAACCTACTTCTACTCAAAAAGAAACAGTATTAATGACACCTCTCTTGGTGAATATTGGACTGTAGTTTAATCATCAGTCAGAGTGAAACAAAATAATGGCTCCCTGATTACTATTAATTAGAGCAGAGAATATAAGCTGACAGAGCTAATGCATGCTACTTTTCAGAAAACAGATAAGACATTTTCATTTTAATTTGAAACTGTTCTCTGAAAATAAAAAGTAAACCAGGTGCTGGTGGTGCACGCCTTTAATCCCAGCACTCGGAAGGCAAAGGTAGATAGATCTCTGTGAGTTCGAGGCCAGTCTTGTCTACAGAGTGAGTTCCTGGACAGCCTCCAAAATAATAGAGAGAAACCCTGTGTCGCACCTGCTGTGCAGCCTGCATCCGAGAATGTAGCGAGGTGGTCGGGATAGATGACACAGAGACCGGTCGGTTGCTTTAGAAAACTTTATGCTTCCCAAGTCAGCTTAGGAGGAGAACTCCCCAAGAAAAAACCGCTTCCCTTTTTAAGGACTTCTGCCATCCATCTACATACAATTCTCCAACCGAGCTGTCACACACCTCTCACAGCTCTCCCAGACTTCTCACCCTCCTGGCTGGTGGTTTAATCTCCGGCCCCAGAATCGGGGAGACACAGCAGGTAGCAGGAAGAGGCATCTAGCCGTAGGGGGTGTCAAAGTCATGGTGTTTCAGTGAGCGAGCCCTTATCTGAGCCCTATCAAGAGCTTTAAAGCACTGAATTGTTTTCAGTAAACATTATCTCACAGCTGCCTGCTCCCAGGCCGAAGGGGAAGTGGGTTTCTGCTCAAGGTCTGGTGTCCCCACAACCCTGTCTCAAAATAAATAAATAAATAGCAAATAGTAACGCTTTTCTTTATGCTAAAAGTGAAATTTAAAAAATATTTACCTTTATATGACTGATTGACAAATTAAACTTCCCATTCATATTCCCCTACTTTAACGGTTCTAGTGTCTTAGAAGAGACCCAGAAAGGGGTCAAAATACCTTTAAGAAAGTGAACAGTTGCCGGGCGATGGTGGCACACGCCTTTAATCCCAGCACTCAGGAGGCAAATGCAGGTGGATCTCTGTGAGTTCGAGGCCGGGCTGGACTGATAGCCTCCAAAACAATACAGAGAAACCCTGTCTCGTAAAACCAAAAAAAAAAAAAAAAAAAAAAAAAACATACAAGAAAGCGAACAGTAAAAATGCTAAGTGATTAACAGATGTCCCTTCCCATTTAGAATCAACCCTGAAATTGAAGTCACCCCAAAGTAACTCAAACGTCTCTTTCACCAGTGGCCTGGCACCACACAGCAGAGCTGAGACGATAAATGAGGCCCTTCTGTGGGAAACATTACTTCTAATTAGTATCAATTCCGGGGTCCAGATACGCTGCTGAGGACTTAAAAATAATGCTCCCAGGAAAACAAGCAAGGCTGAACAGGCCTGCGAGGTCTGAGATCCCAGCCCTGCGAGGTCTGAGACCGAGTCCTTTGGTGGCTGAAGCACAATTGCTGGTAAGGCTCAGGCCAGCCTAGACCACACTGCTGAGGGTGTCTCAATAGTGCTCCTGAAGCTGGAGTACAGCTCAGTGGTAGAGCATCTGTCTGGCAAGCATGGGTGTTGGAGCCATCCCCAGCATGTGCGCACACACAAATACTCACACTTGCTTCAGTGACTTCATTCACCGAAAGGATTCTGGCGACAACTATTTGGTGAGTGGGTAAACAACTACTCCTAGATTATTACTGGTAGGTATTTCCTTCACACTATTAGTATGGCATTATAAAATTTTAGGTAAAAATGATGTCTAAGCTAGAAATAGAGCATTGCTTAGCATGCAGAAAGCCATAGATTCAATCTGAAAAAAAAAAAAATCTCTTTAGTCATTTAAACCAAGCATGGTGGCACACTCAGCAAGGTCGTCCTCAGCTACACAGCAAGTATGAAACCAGTTCAAAGCTAGCCTGGGCTATGGGACGGGGAGGGGGGGCAGGGCATTCTAACGTCTGTCCAAAGAATCTTTTCATTAGTGGACTCACATGAAAGCCATACACCTGGCACTGTGTGAAGAGCAGCAGAAAATGCAAACACAGGGTTATTTGGTACTGACAGAATTCCAGAAGGAAACAGGAAAAAGCTCCCTGCCCTCCTCCCATTTGCCTAAAAGCAGAACATTAATCCATGCAGGTGTGCCACCTCCCCCCTCTACCCGGAAGGACAAAGGTTCACCTCCAAAGACAACCTTAGCCCCTCAAGAGCCTACGGACAGCAAACCTAGCCAACTTCCCATACATGTCAGTCAACTCCAGTATTTGCTGCCCACAGGCTCCGGGTCCTTTCTCCTTTTTTGTTTTGGCTTGGTTTTGGTTTTTCTGCAGCACTGAGGATGGGACTTAGAGCAATCACTCTCCCACCTGGCTCTTTCCCTTTGTCTTGTTCTTTGATGACAACAATATCTAAGCCAGAGAGCTGAACCACCTCTTTGAAATGGTTTATTTTCTCTTGGTATCGCCCAGGTACATCTGCACATGTAAATAGCCTTGTCTGCTTGTCTTGTGTCCCTAGCATAAGTTAAGGCATTTCTGCCTTTTAAAAAAATGAATGTGTGGATACTGATTTCTGAACAAGCAAAGCATATTCTAAATGCAAAGAAATGTCCAGTTGCAAAATCATTTCATCAAGTTAAGACTAGTTTATGTCTTATGTAACTCTGAATGGTTATACATTCAAACATCCACAAATATTGTTATCAATATTACCCACAACAAGGGAAGATTGCCTTGGAAGATGCTCTCCTAATGTTTTACTTACACTTAACCCTTTGAGCTATACTACCAGGAAATTAACTATTATTTTTCCAATAAACCATTAGGAAGTTAAAGAATAAGTTAGGCAATAAGCCCGAGAAGGCCTAATGATACTCAGATACCCTTCTGCTGGCTAGGAGGCCCAGCACCTACCCAGCTCTGTGTGATCAGAAGAGGGCTCTTCTTATGTCTAAGATCTAAGATCTCCGGGCCATTGTGAAACACTACTTTCTATTCTTACCTGCCTATAGTAACTGGGTTTTTGTTTTGTTTTCTTTCCTTTTTGCATGTCTTATTTGTGAATGTTTCCATGAGTATATAGAGAAGAAATTTTAGAGATAATGCATGTCATTGGTTTAGACATGAGGCCATTGTAAGAGAGAGTCATGGAAATCTACCTACATGATAAAAGATTTCGGGACTCAAGTACAATGAGAAGGTTTTATATAATATCATTTCAATAGTGGTTTTTGTTTCCCTATTTCAATACTTTCCAAAAATATCACCATCTCTAAATAGAATTTAAAAAATTAATTCTTGGAGCTAGGCAGTAGTGATGGGGCACACCTTTAATTCCAGCACTCAGTAGGCAAAGGCAGGAGCTCTGAGTTCCAGGACAGTCAGGACCACACAGAAACCCTGTCTCAAAAAAAAACCAAGCACAAATCCTTGATGCTCAGCAATTAAGGGAGATTGCTGTTCAATCGTGAGGACAAGTTCAGAAGGCTGAGTCCACATCAGCCACAACTGCTCACAGATGTCTCAGCTCCAGCCCCAAGGAATTGGACAAACTCTGCTGGCTTCCAAATACATATGTGTACACACACACACACAATATTTCATAAATACATTGTTTTTAAAAAGGAAGAAAGAACACTTGTGGTCCACAACTACTTAGTACATCTACTTCCTGGAAGAACTTTGAAGCTAATTGCATCTCTCCATTTCCAAGCTACTACTGTTGATTTTAATACTTTTCCTTGAGATTTCTGGGGAAGCCTCTTCTGGTTTAAGTTTTGGCTACATTCACTTCAACCAATACCCTATCAAACAGCTGAAGAGAGTTTTAGATGTTTCCTTACCTTGTTCTTGCCAATGTATCTTGCACTCTCTGGTGCTACTGCAAGGAGAAAGGTTCCACAGTCTGGCCTCAGGACACATGAAAAAACCATTCAAACTACTGAAAACATGTTTCTGAATTATCTTTTTTTTTCTTTTCATTTTTGGGTTTTTTGTTTGTTTGTTTGTTTGTTTTGTTTTGAGACAGGGTTTCTCCGTAGTTTTAGAGTCTTTCCTAGAACTCACTCTATAGACCAGATTAGCCTAGAACTCAAAGATCCACCTGCCTCTGCCTTTCTAATGCTGGGATTAAAGGCATAGGCTGCTACCACTACTTGGCTGAGAAATCTTATATTAAAAAAAAAAAAAAGCTCCCATTGACTCATTGCAATGAACACTTACAAGTAAAGATGTATGGACTAAAGAGTAAATTGTGTGACTCACTGGGCCACACTACAGCTTCCACGCCAATATTTTTTTTATGTTTTTGTGTTTTGTTGTTTTATTTTTAATTTTACTTTCAAATTGTGTTTTGCGGGGAGCTGCAAGGGCACAGGCTGGAAGAGACGGGACAGGGAGATAAATGGGATCAGAATACATGATGTGAAATCCACAAAGAATCAATAAAATGTTAAATTTTTTAAAAAGTTCAATTTAGGGGATTCATACTGATTTGACAATCGTGCATTATGTCAGTCATTGTCTTAAACATCAAGTTTTCTATCTTGCCAATGTCTATTCAGAACACTAGGCTAAGTATTCTACCAGTATGTCATACCTTCAGTAGGCAGTAATTCTAACTTTCAAAGCAAACGGAAACTGCTAGAAGTAATGTCCTCTAAACCATGTATCCCTGAAATGCAGGGATCCTTTACCCAGTACACCCAAAGCCTACTGCAACCCCTGGCTGTGTAAGCACTTACAAGCAGACAGACACATGGTCAACTAATAAGACTACTTTAGTCTACCAAAAACATCTCATGTGTTGTCATGGAGTTTGTGGGCCTGTTGGGGGAAGTCCTGTGCATTTGTCAATAAAGTACTGTTGAGCCAATAGGAAACCTAGATAGGAGGGACTAGGAGTCCAGGAGGACTCTGGGAAGGAGAAACACGAGGAGTCAACATGTAACGCCATGGGGTAGGAGGAGTCAAGATGTAATGCCATGGAGGTAGGAAGCCCGGAACTATTCTCCGGTAAGAGACATACTTAGATTAACAATTATGGGGTAATTACTTAAGTCAGAGCTAGCCAGTAAGAAACAAACAAGGCCAACAGCTTCATAATTAATATAGCCTCCTGTGTGTTTATTTGGGGACTACAATGCGGCAGAGTCCAGGCGGCTGGTGGGGGATAAACCAAAACGGCTAGCAAAGAAAAAGCTTCTCTTAACAGAATGGTGTCAGGAGTGGGAAAAATAGTTGGGGCTAAGTTAATAAACTTTCTAGGCTGCAGTGACTTTAAATGGCCGTGCAAGTACATACCTGGTGAGTTTGCCACTGAGTCAAAGTGACAGTTAGCCAGTACAGCATGCTGGGCTCCACTCCGGGGCTCCAGCTTCACCACTACATTAGTAATGTTGTCATAGTAGCTTGTAAAACCTCCCAAGAAGTCAATGCTGAAGGAGCCTGTAGGCCTCTGTATGTCCACTGAAATTCCATGAAGGCTGCTGCTTTGTCTTTCAATCAGTTTGATCTGCTCCAAAAGGTACTGTACTGTCAGAATTTCATTTTCTGCACTTCCTGTAGTCCTGGGGCCAATGGCTGTTATGTGTTCCAGATAATCCCTGGAAGCAATCAAAAGGAATGATGATGATAAACTTAAAATGAACACATCTTGGAGCAACTTCACATGCGTCCCTCCTACCTCAGAAAGTTTAGTTCTTTTGACTTCTCCCATAAAGAAAATTTAATAAAGGAAACAACACTGCCCCCCTCCCCCATTTCTAAGACATGGTCTCTGGTTATTCTGGAACTCACTATATAGACCAAGCTTGCCTCGAAATCACAGAGAACCACCTGCCTCTGCCTCTAAAGGCACTTTTTAAAAAAGAAGTAAGTAAATAAACAAACTAAAAACAATTCAGACATCCCAAGAAAATGACTGGAAGTTTCATCACTTTATATTACATCCCAGGAACTAATGCTTTCAAATTTTCCTCCTTTGACTCCACATCAAATCAGTACCAAGACTAGGGCTTATATTCAGTGCATGTGACTGCTGAAGGTTAGGTAGGAAAACACAACTTCACAGGCTCCTTATAGACTGTTCCTTACTGGGTCCCGATGATGAGGAAAACCCTTAAGAAGACAGGTTTTCAACACGCTACATCCAAAGAAGCAGCTTTTAAAACAACCGCAGTTAAAAACTTTCTGCTAGCTTAGGATTCATCTGGTTTAAGAAACAAGTTACAATATCAAAGAGTTCACCTTCCCAAGTACATCTGAGGTCGTTTAAAAAGGTTGAACCCTACACAATCCTTATCACAGAAGAGCTACAGACCGACGGTGAACTTGCGAAATCGTAAGCAGAATTGTGAATGGGTAGCCTCTGGGGAGTGTTGACAGCTTTCGGATTTGGGGGCTGTGGTGCTTGGGAAGGCAGGACACCCCTTTCCAACACCAACCCCAAAGAGTTTTATAATGAATGCAGTCTTGGCACAAATCATCTACAGGCGGGGCAGAGCGGATGGTACAGCAGACTCGATCCACCTGGTCACCCTGAGAAAGCGAAAGGGGAGGCTGCAAACCCCGGATACCCGCAATTCAGACCCCAGAGGGACGCGCAGGACCATCCCACTTCCCACCCACTTGCGCCCAAGGACCCCGGAACTTCAGCACCGGGGCGCCAGACTCACCCGCCCGAGGCACACTGGCCCGGGGCTCACCCGCGCGGGACTCACCGACCCGGAGCTCCCCCACCCCGGGCTCTCTCGCCTGCGGCAGCAGCGGACTTGCGGCCGGGCCGGTCGACCGTACCTGGCTTGGCGCGCGTCGAACTCGCCCTGGAACCCTGAGGTCCGGCTCAGCACCAGGCGCTGCAGCGAGAGCTGCACGAGTGCCCGCAGTGCGAGCAGGTAGAGTGCGAGCGACAGCACCGTGCGCGCCTCGGACAGCGCGGTCCCCGCGCCCCGCCGGCTCGCGCCTCCGCTCTCCGGGCTCCCCTTCCGCGTCCGCCCGCCGCCGCTCGCGTCCTCCTGCGCGGACGCCTCTCTCTCCCGGTGCGGCGCGGCCGCCGGTCCCTCCCGACGCTCCGCTGCGCCGCGGTGCCGCCTCACGGCCGCCGAGTCGGAACTCCATTCCATGGCCGCAGCCGCAGCCACAGCCACCAGCCCCAACCGCCCCGGCCCGCGACAGCCCGGGCCGCCGCGGCCGCCGCAGCGCCTCCTAGTGAGCGGACGGAAACTGCAGAGGGCCAAACTTCTTCTGATTGGCTGATCCGCTCTGCTGCACCGGAGTTCCTGAGTCTGAGTGATCTTTGGTGGCCGGGGCGGGGCATGGGAGTTGTGCTTGCCCCCCCAGCCTGGTGATAGCAGATTGCCAAACGGAAAACCACCCATAAATCAAAAAATGAACAGCCCCAAGCAAGAGGAAAATGCAAGGCCACTTGTAACCATGCATCAGGCATTTATCCTGCCCTGGGCAGATGCCTCTGAAAAAGTAGGATCCTGTCTACAAAAACAAGAAAGAAGTAAGACTTCACAACCTGGGCTGGAGAGATGGCCCAGCGGTTAAGAGAGCTGGCTGCTCTTTCAAAGGACCTAGGACCTGGATTCAATTCCTAGCACCCACATGGCAGCTCACAACTGTCTGTATCTCCTGTTCCAGAGGATCCAACACCCTTACACAGACATATATGCAAGCAAAACATCAATGTACATTAAAAATACAAATAAATTAAAAATGGACTGGCACTAGGGAACTAGGGAGAATGGAACGAAGACCTTGCCCTTAGGAAAAAAGGGGAGGGAGGGAGGGAGAGAAAGAGAAAGTTGTATGTCTACTCCCAGCGGAGTTATGAAGGGGGATTTACACTTTATACAAACTCTGGTCTGCATAAAGAGCTCCAGGCCAGCCAGGGCTGTACAGCAGGGAGAGGGAGGAGGAGAAAGAAGACAGCCAGTGCGGCCTCCATTTAACAGATTAAAAAAGAATAGCTGTGATTTAATGAATAGCGGCTGAGTTAAGCTGTGTGCTAAGTACAGACTTTGAAAAGAAAATAGTTCTGTTCCTATTTAATAGCTGAAGAACACAAAGGTAGCAAACGAAAAAAATGAATGGGTTCCCAAGACAGCATTGTGTTCCGCTGCTACACAGGGAACTGTGGAAACAAAGGCCTAGAAAAGATGCTTGTGGGTCATCAAAATGGATCAGAAGGTAAAGGTGCTTGTCCCCATCTTCCCCCAAAGCCTGACAACTAGAATGAATTCCATACTGGGTGCTGTGGCAGAAGGACAGAACCAACTTCCACTGGCTGTCTATTGACCTAAACACACACACACACACACACACACACACACACCATATAAACACTATTGTGTTGTCTAGTCTTATGTCAATTTCACACACAAACTAGATTTAACTAAAAGGAGGGACCCACAATTGAGAAAAATTTTAATTAGCATTCTCTTAATTAATGATTGATAGAGGAGAGCATAGCCCTTAATGGGTGGAGCCATCCCTGGGCTGTTGGTCCTGGGTTCTATAAGAAAGCAGGCTGAACAAGCGATGAGGAGCAAGCCAGTAAGCAGCACCCCTCCATGGCCTCTGTCTGAGTCAGCTCCTGCCTCCAGGTTCCTGCCTGTTTAAGTTCCTGTCCTGACTTCCTCTAATGAAGAACTGTGATATAGAAGCATAAGCTGAATAAACCCTTTCCTCCCCAAGTTTGGTTATGGCGTTTCATCATAACAATAGTAACCCTAACAAGATGCACAGTAATAAAATAAAAATCTTTAAATATCTTTAAAATAAATAAATAAATAATAAATGAAAAGTTGGTCTTCCTTCAGTATCACCATTAAGTGGCAAGAGGCTGGTCATTAGTTTTAGTGGCCATGCAGGCAGCTGTCAGTATATTTTCTGCTTGCTGGTGCAGTGAGCCTCTTTGAGTCAAGATTCTGTGACCCAAGCATGTAATGGCTTAAGGGCCCTATGGCATTAACCTAGAAACCCACTGAGAAAACACAATGCAGAATTTGGGCTGAACTTCTGTGTCAGGTATCATACACAATGCCCTGCCTACCTCTCAAACCATCAGACACAGGGCACTCCTACAGCCACACTGGCCTCTCTCAGACTTCCAGGCCTCCACCTCTCCTTTATCTCCTCAGACACTATTTGGATTACCCACAATGCTTGTTCCTTCTCTTCATTACCAAGATAATACCCTTTGAATCTCAACTGAAGTGATACTTGCTCAAACAAGACTCTTCCCCTTGGGTCCCCTCTTACAGTACCATTAGTGCTGGGGTCATTTCATGTTTCCCTCACCAGACTGCCAGCTCCATGAAGGCAAGAACCTCATCTAGTTTTAGTCAGCATGTTACTCACTTCTCCTAAGACATAGAGTGACATGTGCTATACTGTCAATATGTCTTGACCATGATCCCAAACACACAGCAGTTTCTGGAAGCACAGAACTTTAGTGCTGTAAGATCCTTTCTAGTCTGTAAGCTCTATGAAGCCAAAATCAATGTCTACGTCATTTATTCATCGCCTTACCCATAGTGCTTAGCTTCTGCCAGTCTCTGGTCATCACCTTCTAAAGAATCAGATTTGTTTTTCCTTTTTACTTCCCCCAAAGTCTAGACCCTCTGTCATCTTTGGAAGGAGAGTTCACAAAGTCAACAACTATACCTGCTACAATATATGAAGATATACCCATATTTCAATATAACAAGATATGGGTGGCTCTGCTATCTTGTGACTGGGGGGCCCTATGGTGTGCTAGCTACTTATATGTCAATTTGAAACAAGATGGAGTCCACTTTGAAGAGGAAGCCTCAACTGAGAAAATGCCCCTCTCAGATTAGCCTCTTGGAAAGTCTTTGGTTCATTTTCTTGATTGATGGTGTAGTAAGGCCCAGACCATTGTGTTTGGTGTCACCCCAGAGTAGGTGGTCCCCGGGGGCAGGGGTGTAAAAGAAAGCGGGTACTAAACAAGCCATAAGAAGCCAGTAAACAGCACTCCTCCCTGAGTTCCTGCTCTGACTACTCTCAGTGATTGAGTATGCTATGGAACTGTAAATTGAAATAAACCCTTTCTTCCCCAAGTTGCAATCAGTCATGGCATTTGATCACAGCAACAGAAACCCTAAGACACCTGCGGAGACAATGTTCCAGGTAGAGGGAAATAAGAAACACTGAGAAAGGCTGTGGCTAAAACAAAATGAACTAGGAAGGGCATTGGAAGAGGTTAGGTGAGAGCAGCCATCAGGGACCAGCATATGGAGCCGGGCCCCCACACCCCCACCCCACCTCACCCACCTCCACCCCACCCCCACCCCACCTCACCAACCCCCACTCCACCCCCCAATCCCCGCCTTCAACAAGAACTCGGGAGTGGTTTGAGACAGAGCAACACAAAAAACACACCTAGAACCATTGTCCAGTCATACATACCCCAAGGCCCCAGCCTCAACCTTGAGATAACTCAACCAAAAACAAACCCTGAACCTAGATTTAGGCTCCCCATACCTGGTCCTTTATACAAAGCCTTATACAGCTTATAGGACATATACTTTATACACCTTTATATAACTAATACAACATATACCTTATACACCCTTATACAGATTACACAGTATATACCTTATTATACCCTTTAGAGCTTATACAGTATACACCTTATACACCTTATACAGTTTTGCCAAACACATTGGGCAAGCCTGCAGTCGACAACTTTGACTTTCATAACATTTGGCCTTTAGAGTACCAGAGGCTACTTTGACCTGTAGCTTTATTTGTGCGGAAAGAAGGCTCTGATGAGTTAAAGTGTATACTCTAGTTCCCCCATACTAAACTGATGATGGGGATAAGATGGAGTTGAAGGATTTCCTGGCCCAATCTGATAGGCTGTTGATCACTAGGGCTAAGTCAGTTTATCTTACTTGGCATACAATTAAGCTTTTCTTCCGTGTCCTTATGAGACACAGACTTAGGCTGAGCAACAAGCATGGGGATGGTCCCAGGCCCTTCTCTCCTGCTCTCTTTCTCCTGTTTCCCAGTAACATAGCCAAAGCGAGGAGGGCAGGCCTGTGCACTGTCAACACACAGGTTGCTGCGCGGCTCACCTGCCTTAGTGAACACCACAGCTTACGGACCTCCTTCCCGTAAGGAGGGCCTGCTCACCAAGTCTGGTTCCTTGAATTGAAAGCTGGCAAAAGAACACTTGCAACCGTGTGCTCCACCATCATTGCAATCAGGTGAGGTATCAAGTCAAGAGCTGGCAAAGACAGTCCAAACCAGTTGCAAAAGACAGAAACAGATGTCAAAGCTAGGAAACTGTGTGAGCAGAAAAAGACACAAAAGCCAAGCTAGGAACTCCAAATGCAAGCAGGAGCCCGACTGTCCTCTGCAGAGGGGTGGCAGGAACTCCAAATGCAAGCAGGAGCCCGACTGTCCTCTGCAGAGGGGTGGCAGGAACTCCAAATGCAAGCAGGAGCCCGACTGTCCTCTGCAGAGGGGTGGCTGAGGTTTGTCTGGTGAGCTCACTGACTACATAGTGGATCTGTGTCTTTGCTTTGTTGAATGTATCCCAGGCCAGTCTCAAATTAGCTAACAATGACCTTGGACCCTGATCCCCTATCTCTACATCCCAAAATGATTGTGTGTGTGCCATCATGCCTGTTTTATGTAACACCCGGGATCAAACCTGAGGTTGTGTGCCTTTTATGTAACATTCTGCCAACTGAGTCACAGCGCCAGCCCAGCAGCTTTATAAATAAGACAGAGTTGTGTGGAAATGACTTTAGATAGATAAGAAAGGAGAAAGGTCTAGTGATAACAAAAAATAAATGAATATAAGTGCAATGATTAGAGCTTAAAAGGGACAGAGATTATCAATTAAAACAGAAGTGTCAGCAACAGAAACATTATATAACATATTGGTTTCACAAATTTAAAAACTTGTATACATCAAAAACAGTCACACAGGCCGGGTGATGGTGGCGCACACCTTTAATCCCAGCACTCGGGAGGCAGAGGCAGGCGGATCTCTGTGGAGGCTGGGCTGGACCGACAGCCTCCAAAACAATACAGAGAAACTCTGTCTCGTAAATAAAAAAAAAAAAAACAGTCACACATACATACATACAACACACACACACACACACAGAGAGAAAGAGAGAGAGAAATAGAGAGAGAGAG